CAGTCAGCCAGCCAGCCAGCCAGCCAGCCTGTTCCGATCGTAGTTTTGAATCCAGTGCATACTCCAGCCTCTCCAGAATGATGTGGCCTAATATTTTGCTTGCTCTGGGTGGACAGGAGTGGAGCATGATTCCTCGCCAGTTCTTGCAAAGGCGTAGGTCGCCCTTCTTCCGGAGTTTGACAAAGTAACCCTTCTTCCAATCACTAGCCAGTTACCTTCCCTTCCTTCCACACCTTCTGCAATGGTGGTGTGGTGTGAATATGTCCGCTGTTGTCTCTGTGTCTGTTTTGAGTGTTTGTGGCGGGATCCAATCTGGTCCTGATGCTTTCCAGCATTTCAGTAGATGTATGGCATTCAGGACTTCGACTTTCGTCTGTGGCTTGTGTTCATTGGTATTTGTGTGGCCTGGCTGCAGATGGTATTTCTGGACGAAGTGTAGGTGGTGGTGGTCGATTCAAGAGCTTTCTGAAGTGGTCAGCCCATTGTTTCCTCTGTTTCTGTCCTTTGGTAATTAAATTTCACTCATCCTCTCTTATTGGTTTCTTCTGTGTTGATCTCTTCCCAGATAGCAAGTAGTCTGGTTATTTGATACAATGTTGTCAGGTCTCTGTCTCTCCTACCTGCAGCCTGTTCCGCTTCACTTGCCAGTGTTTCGTAGAAGTGTCTTTTGTCTTTACGTGCACTCTTCTTCACTTCCCTGTACAGTGTTTTGTACACTGTACTCAGTTCCTTTTCTCGTTGTGCATCCTTGCACTGCACTGTTTTATCTTCTGCTTCACCATCACCATCCTCATCTACATCCGCTATCAGCTTCCATGTGTCCGTCGACATCCACTACTTATCTCCATTCTTCTTCCTTCCGTTATTCAGATTTCCTTCCACATCTCTTTCAAAGACTTCCAGTGTTCTTCCACTCAGGTTTCTTCACGGATATTCCTCGATATCTCCAATTCGTCTTGAAGGTTGACGTGAAGATGCACTTTGTAGTTTCGTCCTTCAGGTTCCGAGTGTTGTACTTGAACTGTGGTCTATCACCAACTGCTGTGAAGGCATCCAACTTGAATTTGAAGGTGTGTTCCTTGCACTGGATAGTGGTGTGAGTGATGTGAACCTACATCTGCTGCTCTTCTTCATCTCATCTTGTGTCCAGTAGGCTGCGTCTCCACTTTCTTCACACTGAGATGAAGTCGATCTGATTTTTAGTGTGTCCTGTTGTCTGGTGGAATCAAATCGATGTCACTACCTTGTGAATATGCTTGTGTTTGTACACACTGCCTCACCTCGAATCACCAAATCGTTGAACGCACAGAAATCTGCAAACAGTTCTCCGTTCTCATTCTTCATTTCACCGAGTGCTTCTCAATCCATGATGAGTTCTCTTCCTGTGTTGTCCACTCCTCGTTTGGCATTCATGTCACCCATTAGAAATTTGGATATCGCCAACTGAGGTCTTGTCCAGTGTTGATTGCAGTTGTCTGTGGAATTCCTCCTTCTTCTCTTCATCTGCTTGATTATTTGTAGGTGCGTAGTGTAGTGTAGTGTAGTGTGGTGTAGCGTAGAGTAGCATTGTGATTGTGATTGTGAATTTCCTCCCTTTTGAGTTGACTCTTGCTGTCATGATGCTGATGCTGGAGGAGATTGGTTGCCAGTGCTTGGAGCCTTTGATGCTGTTGAGGACATGATGATAGCCACTGGGAAACTCAGTGTGCTCGTGGTTGTTGTGTCGTCTGGGTGACAATGTCGGAGTAGATTATTGACTTCTCTCCAAATGACAGTTTGGAGAGTCGACTTCCATTCCATTCCATCTGCATATTCCTCGCAGATTCCAAGCACTTCCATGCCATTTCTCCTCATCTCGTTTGCGATGTGGTCAGCCTAGGTATGTAAATTTGTGATGGGGACATTCCATGTCCTCATGCTTACTTTTGCTTGCATGTAGATAAGAAGGAGACATCGGGTAATTGGCTTCTCGAAGGCTTTCACCAACTGGTGACATTTCGCCTACCTGATTCCAGCGAGGAATAATTTTATTTTTATGTTTTATATTTTGTTTGTTGTTTGAGGTTTCTTTGGTGGTTAGATATGTTTTACGGGGTAGGGTTGGTAGCTTTATGCCTAACTTTCCTTGTTTACCCGTGCTTCGGACCAGCCAGTAACTAGTGGGCTATTCAACCAGGCGAGGTTGTGTCAAAAGATTACTTTTATATAATAATCAGCTTCCTTTCCTAAATGGAGGGGTAGATGGGACGTTAAAAAATCAGTATACGGGAAACCTAAGTGGACTGGTTAGTACCTCAACTTTCATATTTTCTGGTGAGTACAGTACAAACTGGGTTGAGTAAAATACTTATTCAAGGGAACATAAAGTATGTGTACGACAGATACATTTTAAGAGTAAATCAAACTCAACAGAGATATTCATTAAAAATGCATATCCCGAAAGTTAATCACTTGTTGTAAAGCGTCTCAACGTTGAGAACTAATCAGTATTCTGCCCCGAAAAAGGATGTTTTGCATCGCTCTACCGTATAAGCGGAAAGTCAGATAGTACAATCTCAAAACGAAGGCTCAATTCAGTTATTAGAAAGCATACCATGAAACCAAGCTAAATATTATAGAGAAAACAAAACTCATGCTTCAAAATAAACCCCATCATTGCATAGATGATTACGGCACATCCCGCTGTGTATATCAGTTTACATGTATGTGCGGTGCCACGTTCACTCAAAGGACTAGTTGAGCTATGTAATCAAGGTTGGTGGAACATACTCTTAAGCGGCTGAAAGCCAATAACATTCCAATAATGCCATGGATACATCAGTCAGATAGACGTCATTATTGATGGTAAACACACTACAGAAGCAAGACACAGAGGTTACCCGAAAACAGCCTTTTGATTAATATATAGGAGCCATCATGACCGCATACTTGGGTCCGTTCATTGAAGCCTTAGCTATACGGAAGTTCAGACCCCCTTGATCTATTTAATAACAATTTGTCCTTACCTTAGACCTTTTACGGCGACCTTCATATCATTTTTATACCAAGGAAGGTGTACAGATTTATTATTCCTCCTTATTGTTCTTACTTTTCCCAAATCTTGTATAGTCTTATTTCATCTGCCTTACACCACCGTACTGTCACCTTTCATATGGAATACTTAAAACAGGTAAATATTTTACCAGACTGCCCCACATATATTGTACCTCTATCTTCTTATTACATTGTCAAAATTCATCAAACGGACTTGTTGTTTCAAACTCATAAATATTTTGATTATGTTGAGAAGGAAATGCTATTTTGATCTTGGCATGTATTACTTTTCTTTTTGCCCTGCTTAACAAGCTACTTTCGCGCGTTATGCACATTGTACATTCTCACTAAAAGGTGTAGGTAAAATTGATTGTACAGCCAGTAAACGAAATTGCTGAAAATTCTCGTTGCTGAAACACCTATTTTCAGTTTCTACTTCATTGAATAAACAAATCCAATTTGGAATAACAAGCTACCACAGTATCCAATTTTTACATATGTTTGCCCAGTTTAACAAAGTATGGTTCAAGGTGATCTTGGAGCAGAATTCAGCACTTACATATATGTTTATTGGAACTTGACATTTTGAGATATATTATCATGCCAAAATAAGGCTGTGCAGAACTGCAAAACGGTTTATATTCAGATAAGGATCCAACCTGTTTTAAAGTAGAGGTTCATTGAAACTGGTCAAAAAATCAAATCAAAATCGTTGTCGAGGTATCATCGCTTTCAAAGACACGATGAATGATGACCGAACTATTTTGAACGTTATTTGACCGATTGGCTACCACACCTATGCGGTATTTGTTGACGAAGCTTGTGGGTATTTCTTACATTTGAAATACTTCTTTGTCAGTAGTCATTCCTTTTCCAGTTCATCCGCTGATCGTATTCCGATGTTTATTATATTTTCCAACTGTTGAAAAATTGCGCTTTCAGGAATTCCGGCTACACTCAACCATGAAAACATTGGTAACCTAATTTAGTCTTCACTTATTTGATTGGATTATTATGTTTTCATTGGATTTTCAGCTCTCTCTAAACTCCATTTCTGAGCCACTGAGTTCTACTCATTACGTTTATTTTATTTTGTTTCCTGATTGCTAATAAATTATCTACTGATTGGATTATGCAGTCGTTCTTTTTGAGTTCTACAGTATTTGTTTTTTATCTTTACCTGATTGTTACAAAGGTTTTCATACGTTCATAAGTATATATTTATCACACGACTAAATGACATTTCGATTTTATCTTACAATTCATACAGTCCCCTCGTTTCTCCTTGCTACTGTTTTGTTTTGATGTTAAAGTATATAATATTTCTTTTGTAATAGGTTGTAAAGAGTTTGGAAGATTGCTGGAGTAGTCAAGTCAGTTTACATAATTCAGCTCGAGTATTATTTCTTTCTTTTATATGTCTACATTTACCTCTACTCAAGAGGATAAAAATATTGTATTGATATTTTGATCTTCCAGTAACCTCTGTTTCTTCTGTACAATCACATTCTGTAGATCTTATTCGTCTGCTTTTATCTTGTCTTGCATGAAGAAACGCTTTTTGTTCACGCCTTTCCCGTGAATCAGCAGAAACTGATATCACTGATAGTCATTTGAATTTATTCGGAATAAAAACCTAGTTGCAAATTGTTTGCAGTTAGATCCTTTATCTATCTTATTCTTGGAATATAATTTATTCTAGGAATTTAAAAAACAGATGTCATAATTTGTAGCGGAGCCTAAAACTTAAAACCATGCATGAAGAACTAATAAAAACTATTTTTATTATAAACATACTAATTAAATCATTACGGAAACAGTGAACAGAATAATGAGTGTATAAATGAAATAACTGAAACAGAAGTCGATGGCAGGAAAAGACACGATTTTCGATCTGTAAATATTGGGACACATCAACGGGAAAACATTTTATTTCGGTCTATTAGTTTTCTCACATTCAATGCTACTCATGTACACTGAGTAATGCCTTGGCCGTTGTCAGCACTGGTGAAAGAAGTGGGATGTCCATTAATTTCCAGCTTATTGATACAACCATTGAAGTTTTTTGATCTCATAAAAAATGTTGTCTTTATATTTAGATGAATATCATAACTCATTAGTTCCAAGTATCTTCTTTGAGCATGTAAGACTTCTGGAATTCCTCCTATGAGATATTTAAAGAAAGTTGTTCTCGGTTAACATAATTCAAAACAACACTCGGGACATTCAGTGTCAAAAGTAAAAAATATCCTATAAATTTTCGAGTGACTTTGAAAGTGAAGCATTTCGAATTGAATAAGGTAAAAGTTTAAGTATTGAAACGAACAGTTTGTCGAGAAGAAACTACTAAATGCACTCACAGCACCTTGACTAGCTGTCATCCTTATTTACTACTAAATTATACAGATCCACCAAGAGACCGAAATCAGTATGTTATCACTTACTGCAACCATTAATGTCTTTTAACTCTACCACTAGTAAGCTACAATAACCATAAAAAGCACACCTTGATTTCGTGTTACAGATAAGCGCTTATGGCAATATAGCTTAATGTTGACAATGCAAAACTGTTTGCATCATAATATATCAAAGTTTGTGGTGTTGATTAACCTACATTTATTAAATGAGTATCCTATCTAGGTTCCTCTGTCTTTTCACTCAGTGGAAAAGTATCGTCCTGAGTAATTGTTTTTATAACTTCAGTGCTGCAAGAAATAAGTGAAAATGGAGGTGAAAGTAATTACGGCATGAAAAGATAAGGACTGCTCCTATAACAGATGAAATCCTAGGGTGGACATGATAGGTACGAACACAATAGGTTATCAAGCTCGTATGCCTGATGCAACAAACATGAGTCCAAAATAATAACTCTAGAACCATGCGTAGGTATACATAAGACTCTGCAGAAGGAAAAGATACTTGGCTTTCCATTCAATACGCATATTTGAAAAAGAGTTTATATCGTTTTACTCTTCTTGACGACCGTAGGTAATGAGAGTATAAAAAACGCAAAACCTCGAGGCATATGGATTTTGGAGTGATTTTCTTCCCCAGAATTCTTGTTCCATAAGGAAACATTCTGTTTTATGATCTGTATGCAGAAAAAGGTAGTGGTTAGCTACTGATATATTTGTTATGACATTTATTTACATTTTTCTTATCAGGGTAATTTTTCATGAGTCCATTGGAATTACAAACTGCCTCCATTCACTCAAGAAAGCTGTTCACCTGAACATTTCAAACCAACTATCTTATTCTGCGTTCATGTCAGCCGCTCGAATAGCAGTTACATGCACATCCAGATTTTGGTATTCACACACATTGGAAAGGTAATCATTGTAATTTACCACAAATGTCCGTACGCAGAGACTAGGCAGTCTCTTCATAAAAAACTGTTACATCACTTTGGGAACGAATTCATGTTTATCTTCGTACTGAGAAATTTTGGTGAGACGTATCATCTACTTTTTGAAGGGAAAATGTAAGTAAACTCTCGGGAGAAAACTATGTGCATGACAGGGAAAGATTTATGTGATAGCCGAAAATCTGAGATTCATGCAAACTAATATTGCTAATAATCTAATGGGTTATGTACACTTATTTATTCTCAGTATTTACCTCCAAGATAAACATATGAAGTGCACCTGAATTTAATTTGTTTGACATAAATATTATCTTCAATGCACAATTATGTTATACTTTAAAATTTTTGTAAAAGCTTACCAATATAGAGTTTAACAGGGTACATCTCATAGATATCATTCTCTTCAAGATGAATTTTGGCAACCTGCGACTGGTTTACAAATAGTGTGAAGCCCGCTGAACTTCTAGTTAACAGAGATAAAAAGCCAGTGGTTAAAATTTCATGATGATTATGATGTTTCTACACCAATCAGTTTGAAACAACGTTTATATTAGTGCAAACATATTTGAACACCATGCAGCCATAACTGTATGAATATGATCAGTGTTGTGGAAATACTAAAAAAGCACAACTTACATACTACCCAACAACATTACTGGTTACAGTCAAACAGATTACACCTGTTAGTGGTCTACATGTGGGTTTACTAGTTGTAAGGAATGAACTTCAAAGCACTGAATAGTTTTCATCTTGCTTAGAGTATTCATTAAATTATTTTCAGATGATACCCAAACTTCAACAGGTTTTGAAGCAGTTAGTCCCCTTGACAAATTTAAACAGAGTAATTGAGCAGACCGAAATTATCCGAAACATTTGGTGTATTATCGGTATACATTTCGAACAATCTGATCACACATGAACTTGCTGAATGATTTACATAAGACTTGGGTTAATTAAGGTAAAGAAATATAACAAGGGCACATTGAAAACAAGAGAATAAAAACAAATGGTCACTTTATCACTCCCGATAGTATGAAGAGTTGAATTTAATACTACCAGGATAGGTTTACCGTCAGTACAAATTGTTTTAGAATACATAAAGGAGTTTGAATTTATGGATGACAGGTGATTTGATGATTTAAGAATTCATCCTTGACCATAACTATTTAGTACACTAAAGACTGTTATCAAATCAATCTTATGACCAGATTCTAATGTGTTTTATCACCCGTACTTATTAAACTTTTAGAGGTAATTTTTTCTGGAGCCAATTAGATACATGTTCAACTAGTCTTAACCGCATGTCACGATTGCTCCTCCCTATGTTTGTGTGTCCACACATACATGTAAATTGATAGACACAGTGGGATATGATACACTCTTTCAGAAGCGGCTTACGATTGTGGTGAAGCATGAACTTTGTCCTCTTATCTAAATGACCTTGGCCTCGTAGTTTGTCGTGCTAACAATTGATTTTAGCTTTTCTTAAAGATTAAGCCATTTTATTCACTGTTGTATGGCAACGTGATATACACTTCGGTCTTAGAAACAGAATACTGAGGAATGACTTTAAATGGTACCCTGGCAACTGCTACATTAACCAATCAAATGGCAGAATTCCGTCCAGAAAGGTAGTTTTTCATAGAATCTAGAATCGGCAGTGGTTAACTCACCAATTGCTAGTATGACCTTTTAAGTCACTTATACTGACTAATCGGTCTAGAAAATTGCCATAACATCATTCGTTATGGAATAAAAACTGTTTCATGGAGGCGGGAGGGGATTAATAAACTCAACGGTTCGTAAAATTTAAAATAATCTGACAACCAAAAGTAGCTATATAAGTGAGTAAATATCATTAAGAAGTGTTCACTAATATTTTAGATAGAAGTAATGTGAATAAAGTATGGGATTTAGATTTATTGCATATAATCTTCCAACAAAGTATATACATAACTACTTGGAAACATATGCTACCCTCACTACCCAAATGAAACCGTTTGTTTTCTAAATGAACTGGTTTTGAATTTTTCGGAACCATGACTAAATTTAAAAGCCCTAGTCTTTAATCGAATGGCGATGTGTTTCCGTTGCAATAAAATAGATGAACCAGAATAAAAATAACCAGCAGGCAGTATGTACTTGCTGTGCTAATAAGTAAATGTGATTAGTCAATATATAATATAAACGAAAAATTTATGTATATTTGTTGAGAAAATCAACAAGCTGCGATAATTTTCTCTGACCAAAACTGGTTGAATTTAAGTCATGCACTTGAATGCATATCGACTAAATCCTTTGTATAACAACAGAAATATTACATACGGACTAATTTCTTAATAACCTAGAAAGTAATTCATTCTGAGCTCTTTAGTAATAAGTAAAGGATATACTTGATTCTCTTTTCACTATACTACAAAATTCATAAAATATCAACAAGATTTCTTCACATTGCACACTTTTCAACAACGTCACTGAAGCCTGTTTCCCTTTCCATATTAAAGCTTTCAGATCGTCAAAAGTGTGAATGCTTGGCTCACTAAAAGAATGAATACAGAGGTCTAGTGTTCATAAATAGCGTTTGCACAGTTGTATCGCATGACCAATAACTGTCAGGCTTGATGAATCAGAAAATCTTTTCCTCTAAACTGCATAACAGTGGACTTAGGAAACATTTGTACAATTTCAGACTTGAAACGAATACTTAGTTTAGAGCTGACAATAACTCCTAATCATTCTGAACAAACGGTAGTGTACTCACTATTCAATTAGACATTCATTGTTCAACCCCTCAGCAACTGCTCATCAAGTCGTCTTGAAGTGTGTCATAGTTTATTTTCAGTAGTTTGTTTTAATTGTTCGCAGTTCGCTGGCAGCAACCAGCGAGACAAACCTCAACTATGCTATTTCGAAACTCAACCTAAAGTTTCGGAGCTGTTACGAAACATCTGTTCGACCTTGTTGAGCAGATTAATTATTTTCTTTGAATTATTTTATGTTCCTTAGTTATAATGAAGTCATTTTTTTTTATCTGACAACAGTGTTTTTTAAAAAGATCTCAAGTGAAGTCACAAGTTTATCTACACCCTTATTATTTTATTTCGTAACTATTATACTGCAGTATTACTGCTGAATAGCATACGTAAGAGGTAGTTGATGGATAGATTTAAAATATTAAACCAAATAGATATAACTTACCTGGTAAGTAGAGCTTTGTGCCAAAACATTGTCGTCATCACTTTTTCTGAAATATCGTATTTTTGTATCCATGATCGTTGACTAAGTTGGTTATGGCTATTTTTCCACAATTCCTCAATCTTCAAAGAATTGTTTGTCAAATTGGATGAGGATATGACATTTCTACGAAGCTCTGTATTCTCTGCTCTCAGTTCAAGCTGATTAGTAGGAAGAAGCTTAATTAACACATTCTGCGCTTTATAAGCGCTCTGAAATACAGCATACACTAAATATTGTTTAACAAAAGTAAAAGACATGTTTTTTGTCGACAAATGACTTCTAGCTGAATATAAACCATCTTCATATACTCTAGTGGCTGGTTTAAACTCCAGTGACAGATAATAATGACGAACATTGGGTCTGGAAAAGTAGATAGAAGAAAATGTGTAGTTAGTTCAATCAAAAGATCATCCATGATCTGACAAAGAAGTACAATATTTGTAGTAAATGAAAACAGACAGACTAATTTAACTGATGATTTGTGAATACTGACTGGTTTCAAAGAAGTTTACATGATGGTATGACATGGGCTGAAGAACCGTTAAGTAAAGAAAGGACAGTAAAAATATGGTTTATTTCAGTTTAATACTCATCAGTAGTCCTTATCTGTGACCTTGCAAACGATCCAGTACATGTATTCAAAGTCTCGCAGTTAGCTGGTTACCAATTGGTTGGAATTTGATTACGTACAACTCCTCAAAACTATCATTTCAAAATTCTAACCCAGTGAGTGCTTGGCGACTTGTGAAACTTAATTGACCTTGGTTCAGCCCCCATGGACTCAAGAGAACATACTGATGAGGAGTTTCATAGTGGAACCAAACGACTATTCAGTTCTCTTAGGCTTTCGATGGTTCTACTAATGATATTACCTCGTGATGAAAACGACCTTGAAATAAACGGTGAATTAAAATCAAAACAATATGGAAGAATTTATCAGTTTTCAAACAGTCGAAGTGGAATCAAGAATTATGACAAATATTTACCCTTCAACATACTATTCAGTCTAGGACTACTTTATAAGCTGTTGAAGTCCACGAAATCCGTAAACATACCACCTTTGAGTGAATTTCGATCCAAAAATTATCCGGGATAATGTGGTGTACAAAAAAGATCCAATAAAATGAGGGAGGGTGAATTAACAAATCGGTCAGAGAGGCCAAATCGTGTTGTGCATGTAAAGTGAAACAAGAAATTTTGTTCGATTATGAAAAAGACAATGCATTGTCAGTTGATCAGGCGTGAGGAAAACATTAGAAACGATGAATATTTGAAAATTAAACGATATATAACAATTATTGATAATAATACGAATAGTGACCACAATCTCGCCTGGCTAAACAGAACAATACATCCTAGAACGTCCCAATACGAATGAAGCGGAAAGGTTTAACATAGTGCTAGCATCACTACACTCTAAAACCATTCCAATCACTGAACAAACATCTAAGCACAAAAGAAAATATAAAAACTTATTCCTCACTGGAATCAGGTAGGCGAAATGTCACCAGTTGGTGAAAGCCTTCGAGAAGCCAATTACCCGATGTCTCCTTCTTATCTACATGCAAGCAAAAGTAAGCATGGGGACATGGAATGTCCCCATCACAAATTTACATACCTAGGCTGACCACATCGCAAACGAGATGAGGAGAAATGGCATGGAAGTGCTTGGAATCTGCGAGGAATATGCAGATGGAATGGAATGGAAGTCGACTCTCCAAACTGTCATTTGGAGAGAAGTCAATAATCTACTCCGACATTGTCACCCAGACGACACAACAACCACGAGTACACTGAGTTTCCCAGTGGCTATCATCATGTCCTCAACAGCATCAAAGGCTCCAAGCACTGGCAACCAATCTCCTCCAGCATCAGCATCATGACAGCAAGAGTCAACTCAAAAGGGAGGAAATTCACAATCACAATCACAATGCTACTCTACGCTACACCACACTACACTACACTACACTACACTACACTACGCACCTACAAATAATCAAGCAGATGAAGAGAAGAAGGAGGAATTCCACAGACAACTGCAATCAACACTGGACAAGACCTCAGTTGGCGATATCCAAATTTCTAATGGGTGACATGAATGCCAAACGAGGAGTGGACAACACAGGAAGAGAACTCATCATGGATTGAGAAGCACTCGGTGAAATGAAGAATGAGAACGGAGAACTGTTTGCAGATTTCTGTGCGTTCAACGATTTAGTGATTCGAGGTGAGGCAGTGTGTACAAACACAAGCATATTCACAAGGTAGTGACATCGATTTGATTCCACCAGACAACAGGACACACTAAAAATCAGATCGACTTCATCTCAGTGTGAAGAAAGTGGAGACGCAGCCTACTGGACACAAGATGAGATGAAGAAGAGCAGCAGATGTAGGTTCACATCACTCACACCACTATCCAGTGCAAGGAACACACCTTCAAAATCAAGTTGAAAGTCTTCGAAGAAGAAGCTGGTTCCACTTGAACCACAGTTCAAGTTGAACACCCAGAACAGAAAGTGAACTGAGGGACGAAACTACATAGCACATCTTCACGTCAGCCATCAGGAAAAGTGGGAGACATTGGGCAACATCCCCAAGGAAATCTGCGTGGAAGAACCCTGGAACTCTATGGAAGCGACGTCGAAGGAAACCTGCATAACCGTGTTAAGAAGGAAGAGGAAATAAGACAAGAAATGGATCTCGATGGACACATGGAAGCTGGTGGAGCAGTGAGAGGAGGGTGTTGATGGTGAAGCAGAAGATGAGCCAGTGCAGTGCAGTGATGAACAACGGAAAGAGGAACTGAACACAACCTATAAAACACTATACTTGATAAATAAGTGGAGTGCGTGCAAAGACGAAAATCACTTCCACTACACACTTGCAACTGATGCAGAACATGCTGCAGGTAGGAGAGACCTCACAACATTATATCAAGTAACCAGACTACATACTATCTGGGAACGAAGGAACAGATCAACACAGATGAAACCAATGAAAGATAGTGAAGGAAAGCTAGTTACCGACAACGAGGGAAAACGAAGTGAACGATGGACTGACCAATTCAGGAGGCTTTTGAATCGACCACCACCACCGCAACTAGTCCAAAAATACCACTACCAGCCCAGCCACAGTACTATCAGTAATCGCAAGCCCTCAGACGAAAGCAGAAGTGAAGTCCTGAAGCCATAAAGTTGCTGAAATCCGGGACCAGTTGGAATTCTGCCAGAACCACTGACAACAGACGCAGTGACAACAGTGGACATGCTCACACCGCAGAAAGTTTGCATCGCATCTTAGAACAGAATATAGAATGGCATTCAACTCTCTACCTCAACTTCATCGACTTTGAAAAGGCCTTTGACAGCGTCGACCGACAAGTAATTTGGTATTCACTTCAACAATACGGCTTTAGTGACATAAACCTTTATCAACCTCATTCAACAGCTATTTGACGACGCCACATGCCGAGTGATTCACAATGAAAAGTTCAGTGATGCCTTTGAAGTGAAGACAGGAGTAAGACAAGGTTCTTGCAAGAAACTGTGATGAGCGAGAAGGTGAGTGTACGCTGTTTGACCGATGAATGAGCCCAGAAGATCTGGATTTCGCCAACGTTGATGACTTATGTCTAATGTCTCACAAACTGGAAGATCTACAGGCGAAAACTAATAAGTTGACAAAAAATGCAGGGTAGCGAAAACAGGATTTCAAGTGAACGTAGAGAAGATAGAGGTGATGAAGATGCTCAGTCAACAACAAGCATCAATCATCATCAGAGGGAGAAATCTAAAGGTAGTTGTCTCTTTCACCTACTTACCTAGGCAGCACTGTTGCAACTACAGCCGGCACAGACGAGGACGCCAAATTCAGCCAGGGTCGGAAAGGCAAGACAGGCGTTCATTAGCCTGAAATCAGTGTGGAGATCTTCTACACTCAACTCAGCATGTGGAACAAGATGCGGATTTTCAACACCAACGTCAAGTCAGTGCTCCCGTATGGTTCAGAGACTTGGCACGTTACGAAAACGGATTTCCAGCCAACTGTAGACATTCATGAACAAGTGCCTACGCTGGCTCGTTACTGAAGATCAGATGGATGGCCAGAATAATAAGAATAAGCAACAAGGATTTCTGGCCTGGGACGAACCAACCAAGAACATATCACTCAACAAATATGCAGCAGAGGAAAGTGGAAATGGATTGGATTGGGCATACACTGAGAAGGCCGATTGGGGACATCACGCGCAAGGCCAGGTTCTCTAGTGGAACCCAGATGGGAAGCAACGATTTGGGTGTCCGAGGTGAGGGTGACAGTTGGGAGATTATGTGAGGAGGAAGTGAAAGCTTGTGGGCTGTTGTGGAATCAGGTTTAAAAGATTTCAGAGAACAGAGTGCAGTGAAGACGTGCTACTGAAGCCCTATATTCCATTAGGAACCCAAGGGCCAAATAATAATAATAATGTATAAAGCCGTAGTGAAAATCTTCTCAAATTAACCGAACATCATGTAAATGCATCATTCGTATTGCAAGAAATTTCTTTAGTTTACCACATCAAGTTTACTAATTTATAACGGAAGCAAAAGAAAGTGTGACAAATTTGAACAAATCTTAGATTACAAGCAACCATGTGAATTCATTCCTGGTTAAGCCAGACACCTCTGTGTCGAATTTATCATCCTTTCAGTTATCTGTTCCTGATAAACAGGCACTCATTCTTGAGTTCAGTTTTTCTGTCCCTCAAGGATAAGACTATGTACTACTTCAATGTATATTCGTTATTTGCGAATCTGCCTCTGGTAAAAACAATTGACATTTTATGTAACTATATTTCTTCTAACAGTCTTATATTCCCTATCCCTCTTATTTTTTATAAGATTTGCTATTATTATGTACCGACAAAGTTCAATTCACATTCTAGGGTGAATACTTTCGACAGATTGATGGCGTCGCTATGGGTAGTCCATTAAGACCATTGCTAGCCGATAAATACATGTCACGTATTGAAAACATGGTTGAGGATCTCATCGGAAGGGTTTTTACATTAAAAGAGATGATATGGTCATTATATGCTATATGCCTGCTAGAGAAGGTGAGCGCAGTTCAAAATCACATTAGCTTTACTTGTGAACAAGAGACGAACAACCAGTTACCGCTCTTAGACATATTGCTTAATCAACAGGAGGACGGCTCGATCAGGAGGTCGATTTTTAGGAAGCCTACATGGACATGACAACTGATTAATTTCCGTAGCTATTCTCCAGCACAATATAAACATGGCTTAGCTAGGTGCTTATTCAACAGGATAAACCTTATTTGCACGGAGGACACGAAGGAGGAAGTAACCAATCTACTGACGACAGATGTAGAATTGTCACCGGTTGAAATTTATATTGCACTGAAAAGTATTCATTGTTCCGTTGCTAAGATAAATGTCTACATCTGATTACCGTTTATAGGTGATTTACGTAGGTTTATTTGAAGGGAAAGACTTAGATCAACCGTCTGTAAGACATATTACGCAGTCAAGGTCATCACTGTAGAAAAGACAAAGTCCATGTTACTACACTAACCAAAACAACACATAAACGATGGCACTACATCACAATGTGTTTATCAATTTATATTTATGTGCCAACACAAACATAGGGAGGAGTAATCGTGATATGCAGTTGAGGATGAGGTCGCTTCAAAGACAAATGACCTCAAAAGATCGATAAGTGTATGTAACAAACGTTCATCTCCACCTACTGCTAAACACATACTAAAAACTAATCCCAGGGTAGACATGAAAACAGCTTTTAAATTACTACATAAAAGTGGTCAGGGCCGAGTGATAAAATTTACTGAAGCTCTTACCATCCGTAAATTCAAACCCGCTTTATGTATACAAAAACAATTTGTATTCACGTTGAACAGACCTTGGTAGTATTGATTTTAATTTTCACACCAAGAATGATGTGATAAGATTTTGTTTTTCTCTCTACCCTTCCTATTCGTATCTACGTTTGCGATTGACTTCCTTGACACTTTTCATAAATTTTCATATAGATAGTTCGACAAGTCCATGTGTGATCAGAGTGTTCGAAATGTATAGCGCTGATACATGACATGTTTCAGATGATCTTCGTCTTCTCATTACGCTGTTTAACTGAACAGAAGGACCAGTTGCTTCAGATCTTCTCTATGTCTAAGCACACGCTTTTAATATGTGCCTATGAGTTTTCATTTTCATCATACTTATTTAAAATAAGGTTTATTGATTAGTTTCACCAAAATCATTTGTTCATTTTGAAGGTTTGTGGGGTTCATTGATTTCAGGTTGGTAAGTATCACAGACTTACACCAGTTGGAGAGCTATTGATAATCTGAGAGCACTCGACAGGTGTTTTGTCCTAGTATGGAAATCGTCAACATTGCATGCCCATCAATAGTATAGTAAAATCAAAGATTTTTCAAGATGAAATGAATCATTTTCAAAAGTGATTTTATTTTTGCTTAAAAGTCATTATTTTTAAAGATGTATATATAGTGGTGATAGCCTATAAAGCATTAACCTGTCTTTGGAAATAAACTGCCATTTTCACGCTTTCAGCTTACTACTTCGGCCGAATGTTTGATAAAATAAGGTTCTAATTTGTAAATGTTTGAAATAGATTTTCTGAAACTTAATTGTGTAAATTATGATCAGAAATAGTAAGACTGTCAATTCAATGAAGAAGGACCTGCTTACACGACAGGAAATATTCAGTGAATTTAATTGTTGAAAGGGCAGATTCGGGAACATGAAAATATATGTGCTTAACAATCTAAACTTCAATTAATACCGTTGGTCCGCATTTTTGAAAAGAAGCTAACAAATCTAATCGAGGTTTAGAAAATAAAACTTTCCTTTTTAAACTATATTCTAGTCATTCAAAAGAAGTAATTTTTCGTGAGGGTTACATTATTGTTAGTTCCCGACAAAAGAAAATTATATGATACATTGCTTAGCGGTAATTTTGAGAAATTTATTTGAGCTATCACTTTAAATGTGACCATTTTATTTCTCTTACATTACATTATTAACTTAGATGATGGTATAATTAGTTGATATTCATTCTTCTCTATAAACACTTTACAACCTGAAACCAAAATTAATTTTTTATAGAAAAAATTGGATCAAAAGTTTCAACATATGCCAACATACCTGTAGTTTAGTGAACTTGCTGTGAATTCCACAAAACTATTCTCTCGAAATGCAGCTAATTGCTTCCCCTGCCAATTAAATTCTGATTGAGTATTGTAAACGGACATTTAAATTGAAAACAAGGTAAAGAAAAAAGTGGAAAATGATTGTTACTAGTTATCGTGACTACTAATTAGCGCAATAGGAGTTATTTTTCAAATGTTCACTATTTTCAATCTTTCAAAGCCTATTAACTGAATACTAGTGACTGAGTCAACAACGTTTGCTACTGATTTTGTGCAACTCTGCTTTTCTCATTATATTTTCATTATTTACCCTGATTATTCAATTGCCCATGATTCCCAACAGTTATAGTTTCATGAAAAATTATTTTCGGTCATATTTTGCAGTATATCAGTTTCGGAGATAATTTGTTCTAGTCCACACTGCGATACACTCTTAGTACACGCATTTTCGTTGACTGTGGAGATCAGTATTTTCCAGTTCTCGAAAATATATCCGTCTTCAGGCTATCCGGAAAGGTTAGATGAACTATTTTATCAAAATTGAAAAATTGAATCCCAATGACAAATATCAGTAGGATTCGGAAACCTCGCAGAATTAACTACAAATCTTGAAGGTAAATTCAAAAGATTTTCTCATTTATCTTATGACCGTCCAATCCAGTGAATCCTGTATAACGTCTCAAGTTTCATTTCGGGAATTTAACAGGAAATTGGGTCAGACTAACCTCTTTATGCAGTTCGTATTGTTGCACATTTCTTTTTTCCATAAGTCAGTAAAGGAGACGAAAAGCTTGCATGAATCTTACATTACCAACATTGATGTAAGCGTATTTCTTGTTAATTCTGAAAGGTGCAAGGCTAATTTGATGCCTGTTAGACTTTTGGTCCATTTGTATGGTGTCCTAACGTGATCTATCAAAGTTCATTGAAATATAATTAGGCATCTGATGTTCACTGCTTCCACTACTTTTGATAAACTTAGAGAAAAACTTCAGACATGCTGAAAAGTATCTTCAAATATTCTGATCTAGTCATTCTTGAACACTTTAAGCGGGCTAGGTTTACTCCCACTGTCAAATTAGAGTATTAATATAAAATACTACCAATTCTCATGAACCAAAGTTCATATTTATTGAGTATTTTTCAAAGTATGCATTCAGTGGTGACGGATATATCCCTTTGAAACCAGTGGATCATTGACTGTAGGCATCGAATCATTGCATCAAGACCTATTAGAGATAAGTTAATGCATACAACTGAACAGAACATCGTTCTGTATCCTAACAACGTTAGATCCATATACCTGATTTGTTAGACAACAAAACTATGTTTAATAAACCTCCTAAACCCTTTCATGTTTAACTACGGATAACTTTTACAGGGTATAAGAAAGTTATTTGGTTTCTTTTTAGTGATCAAGCCTGATGGAAGTTTTGAACCTAGTAGATTTAGCTGCAGGACTGAAGATGTATTAGTTTCGAAAGACTATATTAATTGGTTAAGGAGATAAAGATGTTTCTCTTCAATGAAAATAGAGTACATTTGTGTTGTTCTGCTTATTGTAATCCCAACTCTTTAAATAACTTATTTATTTATTAGGTTGCTTGAACAGCATAGACATGACATTACTTCGGATATATAGAAATAAACCTGTAGTGAATGAAAAATGTGTTATAAAAGAACAAATACTCTGACCACTTCATCTGCAAGAATAAAGTGTCTGAGAAGGTAAAATTCAATCTATATTTGGTATATCACGGTGCGTCAGTTATTGGTTAGCAGTGAAGAAAGTAATAAATATGCATTGACTAAGTCAGAAACAGCATTCAAAAGGAGATTTTTTGTCCTGTAAGACCATTTAAAATGTATTTTCTGAGTCAAAATCAGCATACATGTAAAACAGAATGTAAAGAAAACTTAAGGTTTGTACGACACAACAGAAAAATCGAACACTCTGCGCGTGAAGTTCTTCACAGATAAACATGGAATCTCAAGCTAATTAATTCAGAAAAATAATATTTGTCTTCCTCATGAGCACTACTTCAGGAGGAAGTAGTGACAGATAAAGTCTTGACTTCCAAATGACTTGCTTGAAGTAATTTAATTACATCATTTCTTTTAGGTTGATTTTTTCTTGAAATAAAGCATAATTAATAATCACTTGAAGTACCACCATCACTTTCATCAGCTGCAAAACCAGTGGAAATATCGGCCTACTAAATGACTGCTTTATCCTCATCTGACAGTTCTCATCACCATGAATCTACACACCAGTGTAGCAGCTAACATTTTTCCTAGGTAGTATTGCGATTAACGACTTAGTTGACATCATTAAGTTTAGTTTTCTTAATTATTTATTAAGACTAACTGATCATTATCTGACTTTACAGGAAGAATTCATGTCTTTCAAAGTTTTTCAGTAGCCACACCTAGTTTACAGGTTCACTAGTTTACTAGCCAGACTAATGCCCGGATAAAAAAGAGAAGGTTGAACATAGCATCCCTACACCCTAAAACCATTCCAATCACTGAACAAACATCTAAGCACAAAAGAAAATATAAAAACTTATTCCTCACTGGAATCAGGTAGGCGAAATGTCACCAGTTGGTGAAAGCCTTCGAGAAGCCAATTACCCGATGTCTCCTTCTTATCTACATGCAAGCAAAAGTAAGCATGGGGACATGGAATGTCCCCATCACAAATTTACATACCTAGGCTGACCACATCGCAAACGAGATGAGGAGAAATGGCATGGAAGTGCTTGGAATCTGCGAGGAATATGCAGATGGAATGGAATGGAAGTCGACTCTCCAAACTGTCATTTGGAGAGAAGTCAATAATCTACTCCGACATTGTCACCCAGACGACACAACAACCACGAGCACACTGAGTTTCCCAGTGGCTATCATCATGTCCTCAACAGCATCAAAGGCTCCAAGCACTGGCAACCAATCTCCTCCAGCATCAGCATCATGACAGCAAGAGTCAACTCAAAAGGGAGGAAATTCACAATCACAATCACAATGCTACTCTACGCTACACCACACTACACTACACTACACTACACTACACTACGCACCTACAAATAATCAAGCAGATGAAGAGAAGAAGGAGGAATTCCACAGACAACTGCAATCAACACTGGACAAGACCTCAGTTGGCGATATCCAAATTTCTAATGGGTGACATGAATGCCAAACGAGGAGTGGACAACACAGGAAGAGAACTCATCATGGATTGAGAAGCACTCGGTGAAATGAAGAATGAGAACGGAGAACTGTTTGCAGATTTCTGTGCGTTCAACGATTTGGTGATTCGAGGTGAGGCAGTGTGTACAAACACAAGCATATTCACAAGGTAGTGACATCGATTTGATTCCACCAGACAACAGGACACACTAAAAATCAGATCGACTTCATCTCAGTGTGAAGAAAGTGGAGACGCAGCCTACTGGACACAAGATGAGATGAAGAAGAGCAGCAGATGTAGGTTCACATCACTCACACCACTATCCAGTGCAAGGAACACACCTTCAAAATCAAGTTGAAAGTCTTCGAAGAAGAAGCTGGTTCCACTTGAACCACAGTTCAAGTTGAACACCCAGAACAGAAAGTGAACTGAGGGACGAAACTACATAGCACATCTTCACGTCAGCCATCAGGAAAAGTGGGAGACATTGGGCAACATCCCCAAGGAAATCTGCGTGGAAGAACCCTGGAACTCTATGGAAGCGACGTCGAAGGAAACCTGCATAACCGTGTTAAGAAGGAAGAGGAAATAAGACAAGAAATGGATCTCGATGGACACATGGAAGCTGGTGGAGCAGTGAGAGGAGGGTGTTGATGGTGAAGCAGAAGATGAGCCAGTGCAGTGCAGTGATGAACAACGGAAAGAGGAACTGAACACAACCTATAAAACACTATACTTGATAAATAAGTGGAGTGCGTGCAAAGACGAAAATCACTTCCACTACACACTTGCAACTGATGCAGAACATGCTGCAGGTAGGAGAGACCTCACAACATTATATCAAGTAACCAGACTACATACTATCTGGGAACGAAGGAACAGATCAACACAGATGAAACCAATGAAAGATAGTGAAGGAAAGCTAGTTACCGACAACGAGGGAAAACGAAGTGAACGATGGACTGACCAATTCAATAGGCTCTTGAATCGACTGCCACCACCTGCACTTCGTCAAGAAACCCCACCTGCAGCCGGGCGACAGAAATACCAATGAACACAAGCCACAGACGAAAGTCGAAGTCCTGAATGCCATAAAGCTACTAAAGTATGGGAAAGCAGCAGGACCAGATGGGATCCCGCCACAAACACTCAAACAGACACAGAGACAACAGCGGACATTTTCACACCACACCACCATTGCAGAAGGTGTAGAAGGCAGGGAAGGTAACTGGCTAGTGATTGGAAGGACAGTTACCTCGTCAAACTCCTGAAGAAGGGCTACCTACGTCTTTGCAGTACTTGCGCGGAATCACTCTCCTGTCCACTCCAAGCAAAACATTAGGCCGCATCATCCTGGAGAGGCTGAAGTATGCACTGGATTCAAAACGACGACCGGAACAGGCTGGCTAGCTGGCTGGCTGGCTGGATTCAGGAAGTACAAATCGTGTGCGGATTAAAATGGCAACGCTACTCTACTCATCATCGCATCATAGAACAGAGTATAGAATGTCAGTCAACTCCCTACCTCAACTTCATCGACTTTGAAAAGGCCTTTGACAGCGTCGACCGAGAGGTAATTTGGAAACTGCTTCAATACTATGGAGTACGACAACGTATATTAGCATCATTCAACTACTATATGAAGAGGCCATATGCCAAGTAATTCACAATGGGAAGCTCAGTGACGCTTCTGAGGTGAAGACAGGAGTAAGACAAAGCTGCCTACTATCATCCATGATCTTCCTGAATGTGGTCGACTGGACTGGACTGGATCATGCAGCAAACCGTGAGGCGCGAGAATATGGGCATACACTGGTTGAAGCGAATAAAGAGTCTAGGAGATTGCGATTTTGTCGATGATGATTTTTATTTAATGTCGTCATATAAACTCGAAGACCTACAGGCGAAAACTAACAAGTTGCCAGAAGATGCGGGGTAGCGAAAACAGGATTTCAAGTGAACGTAGAGAAGATAGAGGTGATGAAGATGCCCAGTCAACAATAAACATCAATCATTATCATTGGGAGAAATCTAAAGGAAGTTACCTCTTTCACCTACCTACCTATTCAGCATCGTTTCAACTTCAGATGGCGGGGACACAGATGATGATGTCAAACTCAGGATGGGATAAGCAAGACAGGCCTTCACTAATCTGAAATATGTATACAGATCTACTACACTTCACTGCACTCAGTATAAAGCGTGAACAAGATCTGGATTTTCAACATCAATGTCTAGTCAGTGCTTCAGTGTGATGGTTCAGAAACTTGGCGTGTCGCGAAAACCATTTCCAACAAACTACAAACATACATCAACACCTGTCGCCTACACTCACTACATACTGAAGATTAGATGGATGGCCAGAATAATAAGAATAAGCAACAAGCAACTCTGACTGGGGAGGAACCAACCAAGAAGCCACCACCCAACAAATATGCAGTAGAGGAAAGTGGAGATGGATTGGATTGGGCATACACTGGGAAGGCCGATTGGGGACATCACGCGTCAGGTCAGGTCTTCGAGTGGAACTCAAAGGGGAAACGACGAGTTGTGTGTCTGAGGTGGGGGTGATATGGATGAGGATGGTGTGAGGAAGAAAATGAGAGGTTGTGGACAGTGGTGGAGACAGTTTGGAAAGACTGAAGAGGAGGGAGTGAAATGGAGGCGTTCTACTGAAGCCATTTGTTCCACTAGGAACCTAAAGGACAAATAATAAATAATAAGGTTTTTCAGTGGTTATTGGTTATTTCATTACTTCTTTGGCGCAGAATTCCTTACGGTATGTGAATTCCACAGCGTTTCCGTAATTTTTCCATGCTTTCAGTGTTTAATTGTTCCGCACATTTGTAAGTAATGATTTTGTTATCTGAAATATTTATTGATGGCTATAAACTTGCATATAGCCATGAGGAAGGGTAATCAATAGGTTTTTAGATCACTACTGTGACCACTTCGATTTTGTGAAAATGGACATCCTTTTGAATGTCACGCATGTGACTGCATAGAGGTGACTTATGAAAATTAGAAATTATGCTGATTTTAACTATGACTACAATCCCTTTTTTATTTTCAATGTTCTTTTATCAAAGTATTTATTTAAAGGTCAGACTAATGTAAATGCCATTCATCTCGCATCCTGAAACTGAAGTGCCATCGGTGTAATTATTAAAAGTGCTTAGTCCATGTTTCGGTAGATGAACGTGTTTATCACAGTGCTCATCTCCATAATTAGATGAACATCTAACGTGATAAAATGCTACTGTTTCACTGTGTTATATTTCTAATAAACAGACTAAAATGGAATTACAATCGACCAAAGTGCCTAAGCTTTACTCTTGTATTAATAGATTAAAACGTAGTTTCTAGCACGAACTGACGTCAATGGAAGAACTACTGAAAAGTTAAGAGCATTGGACATGTGTCTGGTCCTAGTTTATGACTCCTCAGTAGTGCATCAACGACTCCACGAATGGTCTCACAACAAATACCTTAAGAATAAGCCAGGAGGTTGGAGTAAACCAAATTATCCCTGAAGAGATCCTCCTACTTAGTTGTGGATAAGCACTGTTGATGAGTCCAATGCAAGGACGAAACACCAGTCCACTGCTCCGAGGTTTCACTGTTTCTCCAACTGATTTCATCCGGTGACGTAAACTACCTTGAAATTAATCGATCTGTACAGACCGTTTATTAAACTAAACAAAATGCATGGAGAGATAGCTACGGAACATCTTTCAGAGTATATCTTGTCCCATCCACAGCTTCTGCCTGATTTCTCACTATGCTTCTTGTGAAAATAAAACAAACACTAAAAAGGTATACTAAACTAACAAATGATCCAGTTGTTTAAAAATATAGAAGTCCAATATCTTTTATCTTGGAAGTCACAAATTAAAAGAAAATATTGGTTAGCTTTCTTCAGGGATATTTTGTGAAATTCTAAGTATTTAAGTCATCTCGATTGCCTGTAAAAAGTAGATACAGGATATTGGGATTTTTCTCAGTCGAGGTAACTTATAGCTACTGTACCTGGTATAACTCCTTTTCGGGTAAAAATAACATTTTTGGTGTCACTACCAGTTAATGAGTGAACTGGAAAGAATGAAATAAAATACTGGACAATTTTTCATTGTAACACAAACTTGTAAGGAATCCACCTAGCCAACATGTCACCGAAGCGTTAACAGGGTTGTCTGTAAATAATGCCCCATGAATGATATTTTTTCTGATGTGATGTTGTGTTCTCTTTTTCACAAATGATGTGGCAGTTGTCACTCAATCTGTACATCAAAAAACTACTCTGAATTAAATTACTTAAACCCCTTATTCTGTAACTACCAACCGGATCCGCTTGTCTTTAAGTATGGGCCAAAAACGTAGTGCGTAAATCCATTCACATATAGGTATTGAGCAAATTCATAAGTTCTATGTAGCTCTATGAATTTGATTGTGAATCATTTTTGTAGTAATTACGTTCCGTTTCCTAGTGTTACCTAGGTTTCAATTTAAGTACACTTTGTCTCGTATTTATTCTTCAAAATACGAGGAAAACAATTCAGAAGTGGCATACAAATTAAACAAAATCATATCAGATATTCAAATCTCAGCAAACAGTGGTCTGCAAATTATACCTATAGAATCTACGACAAACAGAAGTATTCTCTTTACCAAGATCGTTTTCGCTATAGCGTTATATGCTATCCTACTATTGTATTACTTAGAGTTAAGAAACGCATTAACTGACTGGAATGTCACTGAATGTGGTGTTCTAAATAAAACACCAGTTAAAAACCGTAAAAAGCTGACTTGCCGTTCAATGATACTGATCTCTGTAGGAAATGTACTGCTGACTAATAGTATTAGTTTCACAACACTCGAACTGGTGATTTGTATACACTAATTAGATTAGATCAATCTGAGCACCAGGTGCACTTTCGTTTGTCTGAGGTAAAGCTGACAAGTGAAGAACTTGAATGAAGTGAGGTCACAAAGTCAGATCGTTATCAGTGCTCAGATTCTAACTAGGTACTTGAAGGGAGTCGTGATACATGAAATCACCGTTTGAATAAATGACTTGAATTTCTTTTGACTGTTTTGTAAAAGAAGATTAGTTTGCTTTTTTGAAGCTTTCATATTCAGCAAGCACAATCTAAAAATATATTCGAAATGGAATGAATGTAGAAACTTTTACCTCAACTTACTTTCCTTGCAATGCTGTCCTTGAAATCCAAGTGGGCAAATACATGTGAAACCTTTGAGTTCTGTAGACAGGTTCCTTTGTTCAAGCACACAGAATCAGATTGAGCACAGGCTTGTCCATCACAGTTCAAACATTCATGCCACCTATTGCATTCCTTATGGGATCGATTAACATTCCATTTGTTTCAACCTTTTAGAATTTTGTGAAATGATAGTTAGTAACTTAAAAGTATAGAACACTAAAAGGAATAAAGAGTCAAAAACATTTTGAGTTGCAGAAGAGCTTTAGGTTTCTCCTGACGGAAGTTTCCGGGTATTCTTTTGAAAATTAAATTCCTGATATATGAGCAACCAATGAAAAGCGAAATTAATTTTCTTACCATTTCGTCAATTACTACAGTAGTACGATACATTTTAGGAAAACGCCAAAATCTTAGCTTTTGACTACATTACCAAATTTTTGTTTAATTTGACGTTTCAAGAAGTAGTTCAGCTTAGACCCTGTAATTAGTCTGCAAATTTTAAATTGGTCTTTCTTCAGTTAACCAAAAGCCTACTTAGGATTCAACTGCTTAGTTAGGAACTATATCTATATGAGTACTAGTCAAAATCGTTGTTTCTAATCAAAGCATTATTTGAAGTAGGAAGACGCTGATCAACAACGAAAACTCTTTTCGTAACTTCTTGTTGTGGTTGCGCAGTTATATAGTAGTCAAGAATGTCATAAAAAGTCCCAACATGAGTCAAAATTCAATTTAGTTTAGTAACTAAACATATTGAGCTGAGAATTGGAAGATAAAAAGGGAGTTACCACAATAGTTACCAAGTCAGTCATACATAACCAAAAAAATGTAGGCATAAAATAATGAGTAGATTTCAGATAAACTTGGAGAAAACGTTATTCTGTAAGTGTCAAAGTTGTGAAACTAAGCCCGTAGTAGTAAAAGAGAATGAGTAAGACTTTGATAAACACAGTTCAGGGTTCTGTTTGATCTTACACTGTATTTCACATCAAATGAATTATGCACACATACTGTGTGATTGACACAGCAACAGAACATTTTATTAGTCTGGGTATTTGTTTGACATATATGTCGGTAGGTGTTCATTTGCACTTCTTACCAGTTTTATGCTGGTACGGTCTATACACTTATGTCCACAGGAGAAAGTAAACTCATACATACTCATTGATGTTGTATTTCTTGATCCAAGAAAGATTGCGTGAAGAAAGAATGTTCCTTAAAATACTATTAAAAATTGGGTTTACAGGACTGCATTACCACTGAAGTTCAGGTTCATACCTAGGTATAATGCGCTGTGTGGTTGTGTACAACGTTAGAGATATTTCATCTACCTTAGAAGTAGTATTCATCACGGAGTGATATCAGTTGGGGAACCACTGGAAATTTGGGAGCATTAGACAACTGTTTCGTACTGGTATGGGACTCCTCAGCAGTACGCATCCACGACCCAGCTAGGCATCGAACTCAGGACCTGCAGGTTTCAAGGCGAACGTGTTAACCACTCAACCACTGGGTCAGTCTCCAGTGGTTCACAGTTTCTAACTTCTGTCAATTCACAACATAGCGCGACTATCACCCAAGGTCTTCAGTTAGCATCCACTTTACTTCCGACTGATTGACCCCACAGGTCACGGCTTCTCATTAAAGCTTCCTGATATCCATCTGGAAGGAAGTCACTAATGAGCACTATGCAGTTATGTATTTTTGAGATGAATGGGGATTTTTTTAATTAGAAGTAGTATTCATCATGGACTGATGTCATCTATATTTATCAAGAAATGAGTTTGAGTATCCGTTTCGAACCAAAATTCTTTTAAAGAAATTCAGTCCACTATCCATTTTGTTTTCTACGGTAGGCTCTTGCTATTCTGTTCATAAGGAAAATACCGTGAAAATTCATCAGTCATCATTCTATTTAGTTTCACCCAAACAGTCTCTTAACCGATATATCAACAACAGAAGTGCAGGAGTAACAAATGAATTTAGATATTTTTTGAACTAAATCAACCTGTGTTATGTATGCTTAAGTGTCTGAATCAAGATGCATCATAGGAAGTTCTACATCCCGCCTTTTACTGTCTAGGTTTCTTGGTAATGGCTTTACTGTTCAGCCACTTTTAGACAGCTACAAAATTTTTTGGCTTTCAAAACGAAATGTAAAACCACCTTAGGAGTGACTTCATACAGCTAACCAGTGAGCACTTAAGCACAGATAAAGTGAAATGCATCAGTCCACGGGTACTTATCAATATCTCATACAGTCCTACAGCGAAATAAACGCGGACTGACTTGTTGAATCGTAATGTCTTGTATTTCACTACGCAGTAGAACAAGTTTCCATTACTGAGAAGGCCAAAAGTACCATTGAGGTTGCAGTTAAGCTTGGCTTACAGGATTCGATAATTATAATCCAAGGTCTTCCGCCGATTGCTTGCAACCACTGAACATCACTCGAAGTTTATAGAGATATGAGTCTTCTATCTTTGATGACCATACAGGAGAATGGTCAGTGAAATGTGCCTAGAACTTTGGACTAAGGACTGTGATATTGACTACACTGATAAACTGTAGAACGAAATTTTAATAATATTCAAGACAAATAAACATACCTTATCTATGCATCCATGGAATCCGATACTCAAATTTTTTGAATATCCAATGAATTGTTTTAAATGAGCTGATATAAAATTGATATTTGGATGGCCACCGAGGAATAAAGAATAGGTTAATGTCAGTTGAACCTGCGAACCGATTGAGTAATTTGTCATAATACGTTCATCTGAATCAATTTGAAGGTAACCTTCACGACCAATACGCCAAAAATGTATTTTATGCCATTCATTCATACTTATTGACTTTGGACTCCTAAATATATAGCGAAATTAAGTTTTCATGTGATTCTATTAAACCCCTATGCAAGCACTCGACGGTAAATCCAACTGAGTAAGAGTATTATGTGATGTGTTTTAGTGATGGCTTTTAAGACTTTGGCATTAAATCCAAACTGTCCCCACAACGAAAACTAATCCATTGGCGTCATTCATGATTATTACAAGCATTTATTCTGATTGCTAGAAGTTATTTCAGGTTGTCATGCACTACAGACTGATATCACCTAGGGAACCAATGGAAACAGGGATAGGTGATTCGTCCTAGTATATGAATTCTCAATAGTGCAAATCCGTGACCGCCTACCAATGACCGAACCCAGGACCTTCAAGTTTCGTGGCGTGCACTCCACCTTTCATACACTGGGTATGAATCCAGTGAGACATATTTTCCTACTCTTGTCAATTCGTGATATAGCGCGACCATCCTCCAGTGACACCGATGATTAGTTGTCCTCACACCGGCTTAATTAACCCTACAGGTCAAGACTTCTCACTTGCACTCTGGTTAATCCCTCTCGAAAAATACCGTAAATGAGCAGTGAACAGCAATTCAGTTCAAACGTTTATAGGAATTGATTGATTTCAAGTTGGTATTCAATGGTTCTCCAAGTGATTTCATTTTGTGATGAATGTCAACGTGACATGAATCAATTCTTATAAACCGTCTAATTGTATTACTAGTGAATGGAGCTGCATTCAGGCATTAATCTAAAGTCACTTTAAAGTTACCCTAGCAACAACTGAAATGACCAGTCAGGCTTTGGTATTTCGCCTGGAAAAGTACTTTTCCATAAAATAAAGGTATGTATTTGACTGTTTCATCAGTCGCTAAGGCGGCCTTTAAAGCCACCTTAATCTGAGTTTTATTCCAAGAACTATCATAAGTTCTAAAACTTGAACTGTGAAAAGTTTCAGTTTTTTTGACGTTTTCTCTATGTGACGAATAGAAGTGTCCCCATGAAATAAAACCATACTCTAAACTTAAACTTTCTCGTGTTCCAGTTGGATACACCAGAAAACAAGGAAATCGAAAATAGTTAAATTTTATTATATGGTAAATGACACGACCGTCAGAAGCGCAGCCTTTCAATTGAAGATCTTAACTCATTTTCCGTTCAGCCACCTACTACATATATTATCTCATATATTGTCTTAGTTCATCTCCTAAGTATTTTCCTCAAGTCAAGGCATCAGGAACTGGATTTCGTTTTAGAGTAATGTTATAAAAGGTATAGAGTTTTTCAGTCTCTGTAGTAGGTAAAATAATTGTGAGCGCACAAAACTGCACTCAGTAACAATATTTGTCACTATTGAAATAGTTTTTTTTGATTTGACGAAGCACACCCTGATACTATCTTACTTGCTGCATGACATTTCGAGCAAAAATTCAGTCTCATATTCATCTCCAAGTAATCACACAACTTCCGGCATCTGGTTTCTACAGTTCTGTCCACTTTTGTTTCCAGTGTTTAGTGATAGTAAGTACTTTCTCATCAAGAGAATAGACGTTGTGCCATTCCCACTATTGAATCGTCTTAGGACTGTATGATATATCAAGTAAACGAAACTCTGTAAGAGTTAAGTCTAACCGTAGCAACTAACATATTGGTGATATTACTGTGTAACTGTGTGTAAAGGTTTCATAGTCAAGTTCCAGTTCCTGGTGATCCAGGACATTCTAGAGGTAATCATGATCTTAAGTTCTTTTTTAGTGATATTCATCATGACCTACAATACCATTTAACACTATACTTAGTGGTTTGAAACGATTTCTTACAGTCCTGAGAATTCGCAGTACAAGTGAGTATAACATTTTCTTCATTAGCATTATCCTATCTTAACGGTTATGGTAAAGTCAATAGATCATTTACGTTTTTGAGATGATCGAGAACATTTGTAGCTTAGGAGGATAATTTTCGCTTCTCTTGTGCTGCTTATATTTTAAACAGTAACAATCCTCAACTCACTCTAAAAATGCTGAACCAGAACCCAAATCAAATGCCACCAAAATGTGACCACGAACTAAGACAATAGCCAAGAAATCTCCACGTCTATCAAGACTATAACCTTCGTATAAAAGCAATCCATCAGGTTTCGTTGGTATGAAGTGGATTTGTAAAGTGGTGAATGATGATGACGTTCCGCTTAATCCAATGTACTCTGTATATGAATACCCACTATAGGATGGCACGGTCAGCTCGATTCCTATGGAGGAAAATCAAAAATATAAATGAATACAGACTGAATACGGCTGTTGCTTCAATGGTTTGATATTAATTTAATAGCATTCAGTAGAACAGTTTAGTGATCTTCAAACCTGCTGAACGAACATTTCCCGTCGGCCAGCTGGGATTTTATTAGATAAAATTACTATCACAAGACATTGATTTGGAAAAGTTACAACTGAAATCCATGCAAAAATAAACAACTACATTCTCCATCTATAAATTCCCTATTAAAATAGGTTAATGACCTCGTCCGAAAAAAGATTTTGGCATCAGCCTTGGGGAAACGTTTTCCACTCATCTCATGAGAAATATCCTACTAACTTGGCAAGTAAGTCTGCAGGTATTAAGATCTCGTAAATAATTACGATCTAGCGATGCCCTGCCAAATAATTTTGTTTTGTTTTCTGTTGATAACACTTTCCGAAGTGATAAAAATGTGCATAAGTATGTACATTGGCCTGGTACGTATAATAACTTCATTATCAGGCGTATATTCATAAAGACGCTGTAATCCAGGATGTCTCTCGTACAGTAATCTTTAAGCCTTACAACGTCAAAAAGAAACTTAGGAGGAGCGAAACACCCAGTGTTGTAAATTTGTGGCTAACATGAGAGATACGGAGTTTCCTTTGTACAACTATTATAAACACTGAATATATAAAATGACTAAAGGTTCGTACAAATCAATCAAATAATGTGAGTTGATGTGTGCAGTTAATTGTACGCATACAATTGAGGGTTTGAAATGCATGATATAGTTAGTCTTAAACGCGTTAGTCTATACATTTCTGAGATAATTATCGATAGAATTCATCACAATGGCATAATAAGTGGCAAACTATTCTCCCCAGCTAATTATTAACAGACTGAGAAAATTCAGAATCCTGGATTCCAGTGCTAGCCACTATCCATCATTACTATCGTAAGAGCACAGGTAATATCGAGGCATCCGCATGACAATACAGACCGATCAGTTCGGTCCAATCAACAACGGTATGATATAAAAACAATTATATACTGTAAACGTTTGTTTCAAGAAAAACTTCCAGGTTCGATATTCATTTGTTAGTTTATTACGCTTTACACTATAAGGATTATCAAAGCATCAGTTCAGCGAAAACCATATTGTCACTGTTTTAAAAGTATATCTACAAACATCCATATCATCATTATGTTCCTTGATTTCACTCTTATGATTTGCTGAATTCTATCCTTTTCAAATGGTTATATTCTTAAATTTTTTATCTGGCTATGTATTCATGACAGGAAAAAAACTAAAATTAGAAAAACAACGTACTGAGAACAATATTTAAACAAAAATTTGAATGAGCTTTCGTTCAATGGTCTTCTATTAACGTTTTAATATCTTCTTAAACACTCATTTTGAAAACAAAATACATAATATCCACTTCAAAAACCGGCGATCACTTCGATAAAAGTATACAAAATGAAAAATAAGTAGAGAAGATACGATACTAGAGTTGAACAGAACCAGTTATAAGCAGATTATAATTTTCTACGATGAGATTAAATAATCAAGGCCTATATAATCCGAAACAAAAAAAATGCCAATCAAGATAAAAACCTCGCCTAGTTAACTAGTTCACTAGTTACTAGCTGGTCCTAACTAAGCCCGGGTAAACATGGAAGGTTGGGCATAAGGCTAGCACCCCTACCCCATAAAACAAATCTAACCGCTAAAGAAACTTCAAAGCACAAAAGATATATAAAAACTTATTCCTCACTGGAATCAGGTAGGCGAAATGTCACCAGTTGGTGAAAGCCTTCGAGAAGCCAATTACCCGATGTCTCCTTCTTATCTACATGCAAGCAAAAGTAAGCATGGGGACATGGAATGTCCCCATCACAAATTTACATACCTAGGCTGACCACATCGCAAACGAGATGAGGAGAAATGGCATGGAAGTGCTTGGAATCTGCGAGGAATATGCAGATGGAATGGAATGGAAGTCGACTCTCCAAACTGTCATTTGGAGAGAAGTCAATAATCTACTCCGACATTGTCACCCAGACGACACAACAACCACGAGCACACTGAGTTTCCCAGTGGCTATCATCATGTCCTCAACAGCATCAAAGGCTCCAAGCACTGGCAACCAATCTCCTCCAGCATCAGCATCATGACAGCAAGAGTCAACTCAAAAGGGAGGAAATTCACAATCACAATCACAATGCTACTCTACGCTACACCACACTACACTACACTACACTACGCACCTACAAATAATCAAGCAGATGAAGAGAAGAAGGAGGAATTCCACAGACAACTGCAATCAACACTGGACAAGACCTCAGTTGGCGATATCCAAATTTCTAATGGGTGACATGAATGCCAAACGAGGAGTGGACAACACAGGAAGAGAACTCATCATGGATTGAGAAGCACTCGGTGAAATGAAGAATGAGAACGGAGAACTGTTTGCAGATTTCTGTGCGTTCAACGATTTAGTGATTCGAGGTGAGGCAGTGTGTACAAACACAAGCATATTCACAAGGTGGCGACATCGATTTGATTCCACCAGACAACAGGACACACTAAAAATCAGATCGACTTCATCTCAGTGTGAAGAAAGTGGAGACGCAGCCTACTGGACACAAGATGAGATGAAGAAGAGCAGCAGATGTAGGTTCACATCACTCACACCACTATCCAGTGCAAGCAACCTACCTTCCAAATCAAGTTAAATCAAGACAAAATGGGAGATATCGAGGGACATCCCTGAAGAAACCTGTTTTGAAGAACGCTGGAAGTCTTTGAAAGAGATATGAAAAGAAACCTGCACAACCGTATTTGGTAGGTAGGAGAAAGAAGATAAGGAATGGATCTCGATGGATACATGGAAGATGATAGAGGAGAGGAGGATGGTGAAGCAGAAGATAAACCAGTGCAAGAATGCACAACGACAAAAGGAACTGAGTACAATGTATAAAACACTGGACAAAGAAGTGAAGAAGAGTGCACTGAAAGACAAAAGGCGCTTCTGCGACACATTGGCAAGTGAAGCATAACAGGATGCAGGTAGGTGAGACCGAGGAAGAGAACCTATAAGATTTGGATTTCCCCGATGACTTGTGTTTAATGTCACACAAAATTGAAGATCTACAGGCAAAAACTAAGAAGTTGGTAGAAGATGCACTGCAGCGAAGACGGGAATTCTTTCGGGTGAACGAAGAGAAGACATCACTGGTGAAGATACCCAACCAACAACAACAACAAGCACCATCAACGCGAGAAACCTAAAGGAAGTAACTTCCTTCACCTATCTAGGCAGCACTGTTGCAACTGCAGGCGGCACAGACGAGGACGCCAAATTCAGCCAGGGTCGGAAAGGCAAGACAGGCGTTCATTAGCCTGAAATCAGTGTGGAGATCTTCTACACTCAACTCAGCATGTGGAACAAGATGCGGATTTTCAACACCAACGTCAAGTCAGTGCTTCACTGTGATGGTTCAGAGACTTGACGTGTTACGAAAGGGATTTCCAGCAACTGTAGACATTCATGAACAAGTGCCTACGCTGGCTCGTTACTGAAGATCAGATGGATGGCCAGAATAATAAGAATAAGCAACAAGCAACTCTGACTGGGACGAACCAACCAAGAACATATCACTCAACAAATATGCAGCAGAGGAAAGTGGAAATGGATTGGATTGGGCATACACTGAGAAGGCCGATTGGGGACATCACGCGCAAGGCCAGGTTCTCTAGTGGAACCCAGATGGGAAGCAACGATTTGGGTGTCCGAGGTGAGGGTGACAGTTGGGAGATTATGTGAGGAGGAAGTGAAAGCTTGTGGGGTGTCGTGGAGCCAGGTCTAACAGAGTGCACTGAAGACGTGCTACTGAAGCCCTATATTCCATTAGGAACCCAAAGGACATATAATAATATTAATGATAAAAATCAAGATAAAACTGCAAAATAATCATACTGACTAAAGTAATAGTGTATTAGATGAAAATTTGATAATCTGAGGAAGGCGAAGAAATAAGGCCCAAACCACTTCATAAGAGTATCAGAAAGTGTACAATCAGCTCTTTCTAGAAAACAGTGAAAAGCAAAATACTGTCATTTGACTTCATTGACCTAGTTTTGTTCAGACATTGCTTTTAATTCTTTTATTTCGTCTTTTCACGCAATATATCAAACAAACAGTAAAGGCCAGAAGTTCATTCGCGTTATAATACCTGTAGTTCTGTTTTTTCTATGTAAAGATTCATTGCCTTCAGGCATTCGCTGTAAAGACCTCTCTTCAAACTCAAAAACTCATTCTTATCCCGTCAAGATAAGCCTCGCTTATCGCTGCTGCACTCGATAACACTACTGATGTTGTACTCAGTCAATGACTGACTCCACACAGAAAAGGACAAGATTTAACTCAAAATATCTGCTCACAGATTACTTTAGCTCAAAAAACTGGTTTCTGTTCACTAAATCTGATTTTCTTAACGGTCTTGCAAAAGGTGTTGGTCATAAGAGGAACATTAGTGAAACTTTACCGTTCACTAAGAATCTGTCTCCAAAAACTTAACGAAACTGAGGATGAAAAGCCTGTGTCCATTATATTTCCGTATACATCGACAATAAATTTTTCCTCAATTATGTTGTCAGATGTCTAATAATCTGAATCTGTTTACTTAAGAGAATGAATGATACTAAGAATTTCACTTTGTGAAAGGTAGGTGCTTAGAGAAAAGTGAAAACATGCGTTGTGGGCGTACAAATACCCAAACATTGAGACAGATATACAGACAAAATCAAACGAGCAGCAGCATGATGAAAGTAAATAGATAATCAGCCAGTACAAAATGTGCTTGACTCTTTACAAGGATACGGGTTCGGTTGTCACGGATAAACTTTGTGATAAAAATCACCATTTAAAATTCTTTTAAGTAAATTACATTAAAAGTAAGTCGGTTAATCACGAACCCAATGATTTAACAATTAGATATCAACCAGTGGTCATATGAAAACTTTACTATCAGGATTCCTGAGCATCAATTTTCAAATGACATACAGATACTTAAAAATCACCTACTAGACTAATTATAAAGGTAGATAACTTACTCTCATCACACTGCGGTCCTGCAGTTCCCAAAAGACACTGACAGATCACAGTGGAACCGGATGTTTGTAAACAAGATGCATTATTTTTACACTGCATCTTTTCGCACAATCCAGAACCACAATTACCTAAAATTCATAAATACCTAGAATTATTTCTTCATTATTAAGATTAGTCACAAAGTGGATAGTAATAGATTTCAATTTCATAAAAGCCACAGAATATATCCAATCAGTTATATCATATCTCTGTGCTCAGTTTCATGTTCATTGGCTAGTGGATGTTTCGCATCAGTTACGTGAAAACAGAATTCAGCATTATTGTTGGTTGAACATACTTATGATATATATATATATATATATATATATATATATATATATATATATATATATATATGCAAAATACTTTATCGCTGTAATGAAGCTGCAGTTTAGGCAAACGTGACATCAACGTTATGGCGTAAAGTGTTGCCACTGAACAACAATCTGTTACCTATTTTGGGGATATTAGAACTTGTGAAGTCGAAACTACTAGTTTACAGTGGACTCAACAGTGGACTCAGACGTGCACCCCAGATCGTGATCTAATTATCTTCAAAAGAACTTCAGATATTTCGACCCATATCTGATGGAATCGATCCTACGGTGATCGCTGGACGCACATCTCTCAGTTTTCAATAGATTGGATTGGATGATTATTCAGATGTTCATTAATATAGGGAATACTCATTTATACAGTACTTTTAGTAAATAACGAGAAAACTTTTTTGCGATAACTGTTTGCTAAGTGCTGAACATCAATATTACTAGACTTTCCGCTTGTAATAATGCAGTCACTTAGATTATTTCTCACATGTCACTTTAGGATTCAAATTATCTTGCTTTTCCCTCAGATCAGTGTCTGAATGGTAACATACAATACTGATATATTTGCGAAAAACGATGCACTTACTCATCCCATATCCATCAATAGCATCTCCAAAGAAGGCTCTACGTCGAGGATCCATCTGAACTCCATTCACTCTTATTTTTTGTATGCATCCACTGTAGCTTTGTTCAAATGAATAGCCTAAGAAACTGACTGGACCTCCTGCCTGAATTAAATCAGGGTGTCCACCAAAGAAAATGTGGCTAAACTCCATATCATTGCCATTTTTTAAATGTTGTCCATAATAATTAATATCCGACCATGGAACAACCTAAAGTTTGTTTGATCACAAAGTCAGTAAACAGTGAACAAATTGTAAGACTCACATAACAATTCAAATTATTCAAGCAACAAAGAAAATTGAATAGACTGTGATTTGGGTACATTGCGTTTACTTAGGAATTATGTTGTCGAACATGAGTACATGAAGGACAATCCAAGCCAGTTAACAACTTTAGAAAGAAACTGGAAATTTGAGAAACTCAATAATGACGAAAAACAGGACGACAGAGAAAGATGGGCTGAAATACACTTATGAACGTTGTGTTCTAGCCCTACTGTAAACCGCTTAAAACACCAGATCAGATGATTTCGTTTGATTTTATTATACATCACCCTTAGTCATTTCGAGTGTTTGTGAACAAAGAAAAATAATAAACGATTAACGCTTATGAGAGTGGATAACAAAGCTTAATAAACCATTAATAAATGATTTCTGCATCAAATGGCAAACGTCTCGAGTTATTAAGCTTATTCATAGATCAATTCATCGTCTACTGACATAACAATAAACGACTCATACTATTAACTGCAAAATTCATGTAAGTGAGACTCAGTAGCATAATTCTGTAATAGTTTATTTTTAAATGAAACACATTGTCTCAGAATATTGGTGGAACTGAAGACGAAAAAATGAACCTTTCACACAGATGAGGCCAATTGACTATCAAATCTAACCAGTTGAATAGTCCGCTATATAGTTTGCAGCTAAAAAAATCTCGATACTGTATGTTAGAAATAGCTATTTAATGTTAAAATCAAGTAAAGCGCGTCAAATAGCTTTATTGACTGATATGATTGACCTTAAACTTTGCATACTGATGAGCACAACACACCGAATAGTTTATTAATTTTTTAATGAAGTCAGTGTCCACCGAATTAACAAAAAGAAAACCTTTAGAACTTTGGATTTTCACTGAAAATAACACTTCTTACACATCTTTATAGTTTAAATTTACTACTGAGTTTGCAAATATGAGAATAGACTTGAAAATAAAATGGTTATGACGTTTGACTACTGAGCAATACTTCAGTAGCACAATTCAAACAAATATTATTTTCATATTGTTGATGAATAGTAGCAGCAGTGAAATCCAGGACAAGTAACAAAATTAGGAATTATTTTCATTAGAATTTTTCCAAATTTTCCAGTTTAAACAGCTATTGAAAAACACTTGCTTTCGTATAAACTGCATCTTCTTTGATTCCATCAACGCTTAGGAAACTCTTTCTATCAACTGTTTCACCAAATGAAATATAGTACCATTGCTCCTTGCTTAGCAATGAGAAATGTTTAACTTCTTGAATTTCTTCCTTTCGATGAGGTTCAGAATTTGTCCTAGAGATTCCTAGAGACCTAAATAAGATGGATAGATAGGTAAGAATCACTAAGACAAATGGAATATGTATCAAAACTAGGTGACATTTATTTGAAAGGACATCAGGTTGATTAGTAACCTTCACATTTAGTAGTGAAATTCAGATACATGTTACTATACCTAGTCTCAAAGACGAATCAAACTGGATGTTCAGTTGTATTTATCTAAAGATTGAAAGACGAACTGACAATCATATTCTTAGATTCATACACGGGATGTCTATTTGAAAAGCATAGGGAAGTCACGTAAGCTCTCTGTCACTAAGGACAAGAAAGATATGTATTAGTGACACTGTGAAGCGTAAGTTGATAGCTCATAAAGAAATGCGGTACAAGAATGATTGTCCATTCGCATTTGTAAAGTGAAATGTGGATGGCAAGAAAACGATCGATCGACCTAGACTAGCTTCGGAGGAAATCTTTCCCCTGAACCTTGAACTACAAGCAATATCACCACCGATTATATATGCAGACTTTTGTCAGTGTCAATGAGTAGACATTATCTGCTGAAATTTGCAGAGAAGACGATATCCAACTTTGTCGTGAACCAGTTTTTGAAATCCCATTCGTAGTATTCTATGCCGTCGGATGGAATCATTCAAAAGACATAAGGATGAAACACTTGCATGCAGATAAATCACTAACTAACGACATTGCAAGCCTCAATAATGCGTTAAAACCAAATATATGTAACCAATATCCTCACTGTTGACTCAAAATTGTTACTTACCACCTAATAATCCAGAAAAAAGACAAACCTTTAACTTCACCTTCCTTCTTACTCTTTTGTTACTTTCTTCACCAACTTTATGATATTTTCCAGTTTTACTCATGATGGTAATATTCCTTCACTCCTTAGATAGACTCTGAGTGATTTTGACCTCCAACTACAAATACCCCTTGATTTATGCATGTACGAATGTAAAGCCGTGAAAATGAGTCATCGGAAATATAATAACCTTCACCATTACCGTCTTCCCATTTTTCTATGACTAAATAAGGATATTTGCTTTAGATGTAATCTGTCTAGTATAAGTCCTTTGTGTACAACATGTTTTTCGCGATACAGCTAGTTGCTAAATAAGTTTCTCTGATCTTTTCCAAGTGTTATTTTAAATGATTTCTTAACTTACTCTTCGCCTTATATAGGAAGGACAATTAAGTATCATTATCATCCCCAACCGTTAGATTTTTATGTTCACAGTAATGTCTCAAAAATGGACTGATTGAGCACAATGTGTTCTCATATTCGTCTCTCCCACCCTTACCCTGGTGGAAAAAATATAACTTTGGGTCAAGTACTGTCAAAAAAAGGGGATAATGACTACAAGTGTAGAAATACATAGTAAGAAGCTGAATAATGTGAACTAACCAAATATGCATTGCTAGGGAAAAGATAGCCAAAGATGTTTGACAAAAAGTCTGGATGTAGTGTTTAGTTTTCCGATCATGTGCAGTTATCGCTTTAACTGGGCATAAATGGTGTAACAATGTACCTAGGGTGAAGTTTAACATACTTCTTTGCATTTTCTTAGGGGATGAATAGGAACTGAATAACCTGACTTTATTAGATGTTGACATATGATTGACGTTATTATTCTTCCCTTGCTTTTGGTTAACCAAAACTATTAGTGTTTGCCAAGACATTTCCTGGAGAGTGGAGTGCAACGTTCAGTGTAGTCAGCTCCATAAAAACCTTCGAATCTACAAGGGACAACTAATCTTTCACATTTAGTCAAATCAAATAAACGCTCAAGAATAACAAATGTAAACTAGCAGAATAGAAAGTATACTTGACGTAATTCAACAGATGTCTCTTTAAGACTTCAAATGCGCTATTATTTTTGGATCTTAAATTTAAAACCACTTTTTTATAATGGTTTGTATTTAGGCTTAAAGCAGCCCGTTTATACCGATTTATTTTCTTGGATTTCCATTGCCCAGTAAAGTTGCTAAGAGAGCTTGGATCTCATTACAGACTGCATCTGCTAAGTAGGCTTTTACAAGTCCGAAACAATGAATTTAAGAGACTTTGAACCAAGTGGTAACTACTAGCCAAGGTTAAATAATTTTTTTGGAGGAAGTAGATCTTCTGAAGACGGGCCTTTTTAATGAATCACTATCTCTTTTGTTCAGTGTGCAGTCTGGTAACTGAGACGTAGACTTTAATTCTTCATCACCATTTAGTTTCTTAACATAGAGGATAAACACTGAATCACATGTGTTCATCAGGTTTCGTCACAAGTAGACAAGATATAGTTCATTCATCTTCTACACATGCAAACTTATGAGATTCGTTCTTTAAGTCACTCATTCTTTGAAATTGTGATGAAGACGTCACCTAAGACACGGCCAGGCGCAGAATGAATAGTAAATCCATCCACTTATTGCACATCACAATAAATCTGAAGTTTACATTAGAGGTGAACATGAATATCTGGTCCGTTAAGTAGTGCATCTGTTTAAATTTGACAACAGGTCTTTTTAATGAATAGTTTGGTAAAAATATTCGTGAAATCACGATGAGTTACTACAAAAATAATCACTCAAATGGGAGAAGCGCCTCTTTTTAATAAAGTAATGCAGACTCAAGAAGACTTTTCCACCAATCTGACATACTTATTATGGCAAAAGGGATGCTACTTTCTTTTTAGCTAGTTAATGAGGTCAGAATATTTTTGTATTTAGCATCTAAGATTATACAAGGTGTAAAGTGGGATAAAATATTTCAAATATCCATCCCTGCTCATCCCACCTTAAGTAATTAGTCAAGTGACAGACTAGTTACTGTCTGTACAGATGATTTCCTGTCGATTAAAGATTATTAAGCAAATAAATACCAAATACTATAAACAAAATGGTGAAAAGGAATTGGTGTTGTGATTGACCAAGAAAATATCAACCCTAAGAAGATTTATTATAATATTTTGTGTGGATGATAAGGTAATGTTACGCTGAGTGAAGCTAATCATCGGCTAAATAGACTAGACCTCTCCAGTAAAGTCAATAGTCTATGATGAAATTCATAAGAGAAAAAAGGAACTCTACTACACAGTTTTGTTCGTCAAGGCAAAAACAGTATATAGCATCATCTGAATACCCGTAAATTATTTTATAGACACTACATATGTGTATCAGTAACAACGTATATGTTTACAAAAGTGACTATTCAGACTGCTGATAGATACAAGGAGTTAAGTTTACAAAAAGGTTTGTGCAAGTTAAGAACCATTTCGTGTTTTCTGTACTGCCATGAAATAGTAGTTCTGAACAATATTTTGAAGGGCAGTTTGTTAGGCTGCTTAGAATGTCAAGTTACGGTTAACACACTAAACAGCAAGTAATTATTTAAGGCTACATTTTCCAACCAACTTTATATTTTGTATAGTGATGTTTTCCTGGTGACTTCTTGAATATATCTTAGCATAATCTTTTTTATTCCGTAAAACCTTTTGAAAATTGCCTAATCTATGATCATTAAAAGACCTTTAACGTAGATGGACTTCTTAAAAAATCTTCACAGTAACCGAAGCCACCTGTTATTGTTATGAACTGAGAAGAGAAAGTTCCGTTCAATACATAGTTCTATTTTTTTAGTGAACTCCAAAATACTTAATTTTTCACTGTTATGCTAAGTAATCGTAAAATGGGCGCTGAAAATTCTAAGGTGGGCAGAGAATTTCAGTCAAATATACATCGTTCACTGTGTACCATGTTTGTAGCTAACCATGACGAGACTTTCACCAGCTTATCAAATATAGCAAGATGTAACAAATGTTTATTTTCGAAATAAAGTCTTCTTCATAGTCAGCTAAAGACAAACAGATAGGCAAGTAGCAAGTTATCCCAAGGATAGTTGCCGGTTCCAAAATAAAATGGATTTTCGTCTCTGGCATCCTGTAATAGAAATCAGTTTATGCTAAATCTTTCAACCTGCCTTATTTGTATGGTAAATGATTTGCTTAGAAATATTTACAGTCAGTAGCTTGTATGTAACAAAAACCAACTGTTATTTTAGTTTCAACGTAGTATTCATCATGGACTAACATTAGCTGGAAAACCATTGAAAACCTGGGAGCACTGGTCAGCTGTTTCATCCTTAAATAAGACTACTAGTAGTGCGAGTCCACAACTCTCCCCCCCCCAGGGGTCGAACCCAGACCCTTCTGGTCTCCTGGCCTACGCGTTAACCATTAAGTCAGTGTCAGACATCATGATCCACAGTTTCCTAGTTCTGTCAGTTGGCGATATGGCGTGAGTACCCATCAAAGTCATCATTTGGCAGCTGCTTCAACTCTCACTGGTTGACCTTACTGGTCAAAACTTCTCATTAGGGCTTCAAGGTAGTGGGTGTGTACAGGTGAGGAGTTTCATATTAGTAATTAGTAATTTTGAAGATGTTTTATGGACACCTATGAGGTGGTCCGTTCATATTCTGTAAAGGTGAAATATGTTTAGCGTATCTTTGCTACTTAAATAAATTTCGTACACAACTCTTTCTGCCTTCTTGCGGGATATTACTTCTGCATTTTGATCTTTTGGTATTTGACTTCCTTCTTTTGGCCTTGCTGAACAGGGATTGGAAAGATGTAAGTTGCCAAGCAGTCTTGGCCTAAATATCTCAATGGTAACGTCACTGAATGCAACACTGAGTGACGTCGGTTCGAATCTCATTGTGGACATCAGTTCCCTCGAGGTCGCAGATACGCCATACTGATGAGTGCCAACACAAACAAAGCCTAGGCCCGTAGCTTCCCACCCATTGTCTCCAATCAACTAACCAATCTCTGATAAAAAATAGGCAATACTTAGCTGGCTTGAAAAGGGGCAATGCAAATATATAAAAAGAGATAAGGGTGGTTGAAAAATAATGATCATAGGTCAAAATTATTCACATATCTGACCAACCTGTATACAACGTAACCATTTTCAATACTGAGTGAAAACTGGAAATCTCTTTTTTTTGACTCATGATAAACTAATAAGTATCTTCCATCGCTAACATTTGGTCGTACTTCAAAGTCCACTTTATATATGTGAGAATAGTTTGTTGCATTTTGATGCCTTCTGTGGCTTTGTTTTTCAGTACCAAATGATTTCAATGACTGAAAACGAAATTTTAAATAACCCCTGGCTGAATATATGGAAACTGATATCCATCATCCTCTGTAGAGAATTAAACAGATTATTTAGAAAAATGTTGATTAGGTTCTTCAAAAATTGGTTGTGGTTAAAAAAAAGCATGAAAACTATGTCACTTCTTTTTGTTCCCATGAGATTTTGAAATTATGAACTCACAACCCAAAAGGTATAAGGTAAAAGAAACCAGCACTGCACTGTAAAATGCTGAACTATTCAGACTGGTTTTCAAACCTTACGAATCAAGAAATGAAGCGACAAAAATACTTCCGCAGAATATGTCACCTTCAGTCAGAATTATTATGGCGCAATTTATTCTGCAGGGAAAATTGGCTCATTTTTTATGTTTCAGACTTTTTCTTTCCATTTCTAGTTCGATAAGAAAACTTGTAAATATAGCTGCTGAACATCTTTCTAGTAGAGTAGCACCATAATGCAAGATAATGATCAGGTTGTATTTGATAACAATTCAAAAAGTAAACTGATATTGTTCACAAACCGTAAGCAATCCAAATATTGCTACAGCATCTTGTAGAAAATGCTGCTAGTTGTGGGCCGACTGGCCACTAATGGAACAGAGATGTTCAAGCAAGCAGCTAATTACAAAATCAAACGTTAACTAATTGACTATCAGAGGTCGAAATGTATGAGATACAGTTATATCTATACATAAAAAAAGTCACGCGGAATTTAATTGTTTGTATTTCTTCTTACAATACACGTTTTTCTGAAAGAAAATTAAATTTGTTAAACGAGTGGCATTCCCACCATTGAGGACTTGAGTAAATTCTTTTCCATCCTATAACCGGTATATAGACAAGAACTCAAGCTTAATCAATAGTAAAATTAGAAAAGTTACCTAGTGTGCACTCTCGTCACTTATACTAAAGTAAACAAGCATAGTGTCCAAAATAACAGATGTTCATTCACATTAGTCAATCTTCTTTATGACGCCATTTACAATAAGCACACAGCCACTTATGAGTAACTTCCTCTCATGTCATGTACTGATTTAAACCACTAGTCTATGTTTTGTATCTCAGAAGGATTTATACATAAGAATAAAAAATATTTTTCGTCAGTGAAACCATATCACGATGCATTTCAATGGATCATGGAAATGAGATTTCATTCTGCAGTGGCTTATTACAAAAAGCCTTTTTTAAACAAGGTACAATAATTAACTCTCTGAATATTCGAAGCAACATTGACAAAAGTTGTGTGGATAATAACATGATAAGTTCCTTTCAGGTGTCTCGTTCACTTAGTTTTCTGAACAAAGGCTTTATTTCAATTTGTTTCTATGCAGCTGCTTCTAGCACGCCACTAAGTATAGATCACTGGTTTTTAGATTCTAACAACTAACGTTCTGTCTTTTAACTGCAAGTACAAATGGACGGAATTAATGTGTCATTCAGTGGCAATTAGATCCCTTCATATTAACTGATGGAATTCGGGATTTGTAGTATCATGCTACAAGTTATTGCATATTACTTTGATTGGGGCATATATATATATATATATATATATATATATATATATATATATAATATATATATATATATATATATATATATATATATATATATATATAATTCAGGCCCATAAACTTCAATAAGAAAGGAGAAAAGTAAACGAAGAAACATTTAGAAGTACTGGTTGTATAAAGTCATTTTGGATGCAGAGAACTTAGTTAGTGCGCAAACAATTCTTTTTTCATTAAGATCACCAACTGACGACAAAATAAAATATGTGATTTGCCCAAATAGAAACCTATTGTGTTTCTGAGAAGCAGTGCGACAAACATGAAGTTCTGTGATATGAAAATTTATATGATTAATGCATGAAGTCCATATTAGTACACATATGAACTGCGGAACAGTATTTTCAGCTTTGTCGTATCATATAGAGACTACTGTCATTCTAGGGTAGGACAATAAAACATTTCCTAATTTCAGCTAAATAACACTGCAATTCATTGCAAAAACAGCTAAATTTAACTATCTTTGGGAACGCAACTGAAGCGAATCAGAACACATGATATGAAATGATAAAGTTCACTTTTCCTTGAATTTAATAAATTACTTCCGGAAATATGTGATGACAAATTACCTAGAGATAGAGTATGCCTCATGTGTCCACTGTTTACGATGATAAATGACGAGATCACTTGAGCGAAAACTAGGAATTCATAGTCGGTTAATCCTTGGTAAATATGTATCAAGTTGCCTTAGTTACGGCGATAACTCAAAAATCACTTATTTCGTGAATAAAACGTATTGTAGGCCAAACTTACATTACTTTCAAAGAAATGCACATCCAATGCAAACAAAAGGCGTTTTAAATATAATTATCCTCTTTTTACCAGCGAACAGAATACAGATAAACCCCTAAGCAATTAGATTGACACACTCATAGTTTTTGATATCAGTTTAAGGACCAGAAAAGAAAGTGCCTATTAAACATATCTTTTTTATAGCATTAAATTCACCAGCCTTTCTTAATCAGACTCTTCTTGTGTCCAGATCACCTAAAAATTTGCTTGAATTCCCTATTATATAAACTTGCAAGGTAACTGTTTCCACTGCTAAAGCTTTCTATAATGCAATTCAAATTCGTAGGGCTGAACGATACGTTCAACATATGAATTGGTGATTATACTGAAAATCCCAACTTTAAAGATTGAATCGGAAGTTTAAATATCATCGTACTTTCTGAGGATCCTGATTTTTCAAAGCGTGATCCAGGAAGAATGTCTAAATTGAGGAATGTTCTAGTTACGAAAACAGTTTTGAGTGTTTTATTTTCACCAGCTTAGAATGAAAATTTACTACTTTGAATAATCAGTGGAAAAAAACTGTTCGAGGCCTTTTATTTCAATCGTTTGGTAAGGCTTTATACAGAACATCTGAAGTGCATACTAAAGGGTTTCCAGTCAGTAATTTCTTGACAAAAGTAAACTATGTGTCAGATATAAGAAAATGATTAACCGATATTATTAATGAACCATTACGTTGCTTTTCAAGTAAGTTCCATGTTAGCAAACTTTAACAGGTTTTTTATTTTCAACTAGAGTTAACCAGAAACATTTATCTTCCCCCATTGAAATGCAATATTCCATACACTACACTTATTGTATATTTTCTCAGAAGCAAAATCAAATATCCAGTGCTAACAAGCCAACTTATTCAAGCTAGATATTGTTCGGATTTTCGTAATTTTCAGCACAAAGATACGACAAAGATTTGAATTACCTTTATCACACAAGTCACCGGAAAATCCTAGTGGACATAAGCATTGCGAATAAGAGGCACGTAAATCAACGTAACATCGTCCCAGATTATAACAAAGAAATGACCCACATATTGTCGCATCTGGTATAACATGTTGAGTATTATACAGGATTGTCGGAGTCATATTAGCCTTCATAAAGGAAGGCTTTTCTTTATTGTTCAGTATATGTTTGTGTTGACAGAATTGGAACTGTTGAAGACCGGATCCTCTACTTCAACTTCCATAATCATGGACCAATCATTATCTTCCTGAATTTGCTTCGTTACTAAATTATGCACAGAGATTAATAGACCTAAAACAAAAAGTTGAAAGGATTTTTAATTTCGTACTAGGATTGAACTGACTGTAACAATCCGGTTCATATTTCTTGTAGTTATATCTTTTCGAAAATTTCAGAAAGTTTAGAAAATGTCTTGAAAAATAAACTATTATTTATAGTATTTTACGCTACGACAGATGTGCAGTTTCTATCCGGCATCAATTAAGAAGCTAGTGAAATCATTCAGAATTGTCAACCAAAAACTGAAATTTAGCAAAATTACATTGTTCAGTATATACAGCAGTAATTAAGCAAGCATTGAACCCATGCAATTAACTTGGCAGTGTCAAGCGTTGAAACTTCAGATAATATTACTGTCGGTTAACTGATTGGACCTAGACTGCACTGACTTCTTGTTTCTCAACAAAGCTCAAATTCATTCATGTAGCGGCAAAGTGATTGGTCTAGATAACTTGACACTTTAAATCCAACCACCATATTTAATAAGCACATTTAGAAAAGCATTTAGCGTCTTACGCAAAAAGATTGAGCTGATTAGAGGTCAAACAAATAATAAACTAATGTGGACGAATAGATACTTACATATTTTGGTGATTTCTACTAATTCTTAAAGTCATGGTGAATATGACAACAATACTAGCTAACTGATCAAGCTGTGCGAATATTACAGTAAAATAAGCTAGTTCTCACATGTATAAAGCGTGAGCAGCGTAAAATAGTTAAAAAAGTGGTCATCGGATAGGAAACAATTTGTCAAGGGTATAAAAGCATTTTCATCCCTGAACGTTAAGCTGAACTTTATTCCATATAACTGGTATCAAAACATTTAAAATTTCAGAGAGTGTTTTTTTCTCCTAAAAGCATTCCTTCCTATTCCTCACGTGGATGCTGCAGCTTCCAAGCCAAATTTGTATGTGTTCAAACGCTTTGCGAATTATTGTGGCTTTCGCTACAATAAATGAAATCAGAAATGAACTCCTCATATAATTTTCATACTGTTAAGCCTCGCTTTTAAGACACAAATTGATGTCAGACACCTTTAGTTCATATTAGGTCGGATTTTTTCTGAGGGTAAGCTTATGAACTAACGCAGCGTCAGTAACTGGTCAACATATTCCACACTTAATAGACTGAAATGAAAGCCGAACATATTAAAACACTGCAGAAGAGTATACTGTCTACGCATTTCATTTGTCATCGTTTTTCTTGGCTGACTTATCCTTTGCTATGAACCAAACTTTGCAAGAGACGATTAAGTAGCAGAACCAATATCAAAGTTTTGAATAATTGTTTCATCTACAGACTGGAGTTAATTTATGATGGTTATTCCTTCCGGGTAGCGACTGCAAACTAATAAAACTGATCACCTAAACTTTGTGCACTGATGTATAACGTTCTAATCTAAATAACGAAGTAAGCGGCACATATAATTATGAGACATGAGAATTCTTTACCACCAGCATGGCCTTGGTAGTCTAATCATTGATACTGACTATTTTCAGTGATAAATATCACTATAGTCTACAGACTAAATCGTTTCTCATGTTATATATATGTTGGTTTCAAAGATAATTAGCGAAGTTACATGTACCAATGTGTAGAATGTTACACCTTCACTAACAATATCACAAGCAGTCCAAAATAGTCTTGAATAAAAAATTTTAATACTTCTGCAAAATTGAACACTGAAGGTAATAAAATCTTGTTGGTGGTTGTATCTGGACCTGCAACTTCGAGGTTACAATTTAGATGCATTGGTATATGGACTTCAAGAGCCATCCTCTAATCTGTTTCAACCTTCTTCTCAACTTTTAGGGAAATATCTCAACTTCTTGGGAATACTTTGCACTATTTCTTTTGCTTAACTACTGCCTCGTTAGAATCAAAAATGACTGGCAGAAATAAATGGCAACAGCCAGCTGACTAGTAATCTAAGACATTTTATTGTCACATCCGACAATCCTTTAATTTTGATAGCCATAACTATATAGAAAGGTATGTTTTACAAAGAATTTTGATAAAGAGTAATAAAGAATTAGGTTTGGATACTATGCCAATCTTTTCAACCTACGTAAGTTAGAATGACAAATTTCGATTATCTCCTAGACATGTCTGTCATTACTTCAGGTGCTGGTTAATGGAACACTTTTCATAACTTCGAAAGTTACTAGGTTTGTAATTTAAAACCCACTGTTTTAAGTCTATACATAACTCATTTTTCTTGTTTGACGGTAATTTTATTCGCAAATGTGTACCCAAAAAATAGTTTTGAACTCCAGGAGACCTTATTTAAATGCATGTATAAAAAATGAGCAATCTTAATGTTGGGAGCTTGTTCAAGGAAATGCAGAAATCCTGAGTTAGGTAAGAAATTATAATGCTTTATATTCATTGAACACACAAAACAAATATTAGGTTGCATAAAAAACGGAGTCTTACTGAAACACAGCACTAGAAGACGGGCCATATTATCCGTTCTATTTCAGTCCAAGGGAAAATATTTAATTGTAACTTCTCAAAAGATAATCCATTTAATTTACACCCAACTGGAATATTGTTTTCATGATAAAATGAAGCGAAAAATTTAGGCAAAGCTATTAACAAAACTATCAAATATTCTATTGGTTACATACCTTGGGTAGAGTGTGATTGGTTCCAGTCATACATATCTCAATAAATTACCGTTATGATTATACTTCTGAAAGGTGTCTAAATTACCATTCAGCATACTCTAAGCAAAATAAGAGGTAACTTTATTGATAAATAGCAACTATATATGCTACTCACCAAATGAATTCAACATTTTCTACTGAAGACTTATTCACTCTTTGTGTCAAATTTCGGGTAAACCCAGGTAGCTAAGGTTTCTTTGGCAATCCAGGCAGCAAAAACTAAGTAAAGAAATGGATTCATTTTTGGGATACAAGAAAATTATCCGTGGAAGTAGTGGTATTTCTCAGTTATATACATGTATATAATATGTGTGAAATTTTTTTAATTTATGCTCAATATCTACTGAAACTAATTCCAAACTAGCAAGTAATCTTCAAAGTTGTACGGCTAGACAAAGAAACACGCATGGTACTGAATAAGTATGATGAAGCTCTTTCTGATACTTACGCATATAGTAAATAACTCGTGATCTTTACACATTAGTACATATATATGTGTCCATTTCAAGTAAAGTTCACTGTTGATACTACTCAAATGTCGGAGACTTTATAGAGACAAAAAAGAAATTAAGGCTCCGTGAAGACTTAAGTCAACCACACAAAACCGTTGGTTGCTAAATTATTTAAAACTAGTTAAATAAGCCTTAATCGGGTAGAAGAAAGTTCCCTGCGATGAGAACCATAAGGTAACTGGTTGTGAAGTAACCATGATCAACTTCCTGTTAATAAACTGTTTGGGTCTAGTTAAGAGTGGTGTAACCTTCATATCTGTATTTGGTGATAAAGCTATCACTAGCAGCTGATAAATGTCTAGATTTAAGTATTAGGATATTTTAAACTACATGGTCCAGTTATCATTTTAGATTATCATCAAAGCATTATCTAGAGTGGAATGTAGGTGTTTGACTTTTGAAGTCTAAAAGATTTGTATGGGTTAGAAGTTGTCAATTAGTAAGATGCTTTTCGAACAAATCAGTTAAGGTATTCTAAGCTTCTTCTTAACCTATTCTGTTTGCTGTCGTAGGAAACGAGTGAAGTGTTAATGTCAGTTTCCTCTGGTAGATTTCTATTTTCTAACTTTCTGTGAATATAAAAATGACTATATAAATGGTCCGTCACGAGCTGTTCAAACATCACACTGAGATAACTTGATTTAGATGTAATGGATTAAAAAGATCCGACGGAAGTCAACTTATAGTGTTTTATACAATTATAAAACATTTTGAAAAATAGAAGAACCTAGCATGACTGATACTGTATCTGATATATTATCATAAAGTTTGTACCGCTCACTTTATATTATATACAACTGAATATTTCTTCCTTTTCAGGGAATCTATATTCAAGCACCTATAAATACGACTTGAATGTAAGTGCAAGACATTTAAGTGATAAATTAGAGGTAGTGTTAGGAAGGTGGGAAATCAGATGAAATGTTTACTAAAAATCAGGGAAAAGCTTGCCTATGATTTCATGCAAATTCAAGCTTTAAACCAGTCGTGAAACTGTGTCATATTACTGGAAACAAATTATATAATATCTGATAAAAATATGTTACAGAGTTGAGGTGTGTTTACCTTTTCTTTTCAATGAAAAATAAGCAGCCAAATACCTGTGGAGTGTTTTTATAGTATATTGGTTCCCACACATTTAAATCTTCTTTGTTCCAGAAGTTTGTCAAAAGCGTTGATCAAATGGTTTATGATAAGTAGTTCTGAGACTGATGAATACAACAGTTAATAAAATGCTGAAATGTATTTGAACAGTAGAATGATGCCTAAATGTCACGTACATGATTCTTGGTGCGATAAAACCACCATCTTCATTTTAGGTTCAAAAAGAGAATATTCTGATAATCAAAGGTGCTGAAATCACGATAGGTGTGCATACATGTTTGCAAGTTTCTGATATTATCTTTCAAAACCTGTATGGATTAGCTTACATTTTGGTTCATCCAAGATATTCTTCAAATAGTTTGGAAAAAGAAGACTACAAATTTTTGACCATTCGACATAATTAGTTCATTAAGCGATAGTACAGTTTACATGGCTCACATTTGTTTACAGTCAATAGTGCCAAGTAGGATTGAGTGTTTAGGGTATTAAGGAGTGTTCATACTCCTTCATTTCTAATCAATAATAAAACCTTTATAAATAAAGTAGGAAATCGACACTTATTCGGTGAATATGCAGTTAATGAGTATACTGACAAAGTGTCTTTGACCGAACAGTTTACAATGCTGATAGTGCATGATGATTGGAGGTGAAATGAAGACATGAGTCGTGGCACGACTCACACCAACAGTCTCTAATTTATTGCCCTGACGCCCTAACAACTGAACTACTAGAACCAGTTGCTGACTAGTTCTTAACTTCCATTTTAACCATGTGGATTCATGATACAGGACTGTCCGTTTACCATAACAACATTGAATGCCCAGCTGGTCTTTTCGTCAAAATCCAAATGAAACCGAATTAAAGAAAGGTAGGGTCATACTGATTATCAGTGAGAGCATTTGAGAATGCTATGATTTGCCAGACAATATATATAACAACACTTTCCTAAACCAAGGCAATCTCGGACAAACTCACGAGTAGTTTCACAATATATGAAACAACAAGTTACCTTAATATAAAACATCTTTCCGTTCTAAAAAGCTAGGATGTAATTCACAACTTCACAACTTAAAGTTTAACATAGTCAAATGTTCTTATGATATCTAAGAAAAACATGACATTATTTGCAAGAAAGCGCCTAGAAGATAAATACTTTTAGGTGATTTTGTTCAGTATTTTGCCTGCTGTCGTGCCACAAATAACATTATTTGCAATGATATATCCATTTATGAGGTGAAAAAAAATAAATTGTTCACTAATCACAATGATAAGTTCAGTACGCTATAGTTAGTGAAGCGTAACATCAACCATTTTCTAGACACAAATTTGGGTGAAGGGGTTCAACATGTAGTGATACAGAAACCGATACTATCATTAGGCAGAAACTATGTGAAACAACTAGGAGGTAGGTATCAGCACCAGCTTCATGATGAGTCATTTTTAAATGTTTGCCAGTACGTTATGCTTAATTCCTACCCAAACCAAGTACACTCTGATTAGTCATATTGCGATTGTGCTGCTGATAAGAATACATGTAGGTAGGATATGTTGACAGAACTAGACTCAAGAAATCAAAACTATCAGTTTTCTATGCTCGCACTATCAATATTGGATTTGGGAGAGATCAGAAGAAGTCGTAGGCAATTATGAGCAATGGATAAATATTCTGCCAAGAGAAGCGCAAAAGATGATACGGCCGCATGAATAGCAAGACGAGATAGAAGAAGAATTTAAACATATTGTTTAAATTGATAACTCAATAGAAGGTTATAATATTTTGTTAGCAGTGTACAAGTTATCTTGATTAACAGCCCTTCTACAACTCACCCTCTGCCCTTTTCTTTCATTGGTGTCTCGTCTTCTAGACTTGATGTAGATTCTGTGCCCCACATTGTGTGAGGATGCAGACGGAAAGGTCTTTCATAGGAGTTTCGAGTAGGTCGCGGTGTAAGCGGGACTCAACAGCGAAAGTCGTTGTGCTTGACACGTTGCTGCGAGGTCCAGAGAAAGAGGGGTATGATGGCGTGGAAGTCGTGGATGGAAAGAATAGTGGATGAATGGCTGGAGACGGAGTTTTACAGCCTAGTGGATAGCGAGCTGGGGATGCAGCAGTTTCGGAGCAAAAAACTTCAACTAGACGAAGATCCGCTGTTATAGCTTGAGGAGTTGACAAATCTAATTTGTCGAGTATTTCCTACTCTGGATGAGGACTCCTAAGAGCAGTTGCTGGCTGCACAGTTCAGGGACAGTGTATCGAATGTAATTACCCAGCAGCTACTACTATTGAACACAGTCTAACCCATAGATTTTAGTGAGATGGCAAAGGTGACCAGACAGCTGATGGATACAACAGTGGCTGCGATGGAGTCACTGGTTGTAAATAACTGGGAGAAAAATGAATAACCTTCACCAGGAGGTGTTTGCACCTCGAGTGAATATCAATTTGCACAATATGTTTAAATTCTTTAACTTCTTCTATCTCATCTTGCTATTCATGCGGCTGTATTATCTGTTGACCTTCTCTTGGCAGAATATTTATCCATTGCTCATAATTGCCTACGACTTCTTTAGATCCCTCAACATATATTACTTAAATGCGTTCTCACCAGTAGCACCCATAACAATATAATGTGCTTGACACTGAGAGACATATTTTTCTTAGCAGTCATAGAATGTTGCATTGCTTTTTCGACTTGTGTTCTAATGACTTGGACTGAAAAACAAGTTGTAAAAGTTGCCTAATTTCATGGTTTAAGTTGTTAGTTTGATATCCCTAGCATAGGTCAGCAGATAAGTGGCTAAAATTTTTTATTTAAAAGTGTTCATACATAGGACTTTGATTTGAGACAGTTTTGTTTCAATTACAGGGTAAAGTTTATTCATAATTTGTTACTTGTTTGTGAGGTAATTCATGAGTTTTGGTAACCCTGTTGAGACTTACATGCAAGGACTATTAGTCATATTGGTTAAGTGAGCTCCTAAATTCCGTGCTTCTTTTGCTTAACATAAACAACTAACTCACTTATCAAACTTACTACCTGTATACTTGCCATCACTTAGTGTCAGACTAAACTTCTAATCATCAAAACTTACAAATTCTAATATTCCTATAGTACCTCCTATAAATATTCATAAGACTTCATTTTAACAGAAACAGACTTGGCTGATCATTGTCAACGACTACATTCTCATATGTATTAGCCAACAATCTCTGCGTGCATCCGTTATAGTTCTCTTGTTTTAATTTAATAGAAAAAGGCTAGTAGTAGGATCCCAAACCCGTTTTTCATCCAAAATAACAATCAGCTGGAAGGAACAGGCATGAATAAAGGAAAACCAATGCCCACGGCACTGGAAACGAATGTTGTGGATAAGCCGC